AAAATTACAAAAAAATTATTTTGTTCACTCGCCTCCTAGTTCAAAACTGCGCCTATAATTTTATTTTGCTGCGTCAATTTTAATATTTGCTGCGCCATTAATTATATTTGACATAAATGATCAATTTTAAAAGAAGTGCTACATTCTGGCAAGCCAGAAGTAATTTATTATGAAAATTTCCACAATTCGTATTTTTTAAACTTCTTTTCGTAGTAATTCATGCCTCCATTAGGGGTCGTTCACTTATGACGTCCGAGTTTAACGGTCATTTTTCATAAAAGAACAATGGATTTCCAGAAATTTCTATGGAAATTGCTCCAAGGAAAAGTGTGAGATGACAAAAGTTAAGCAACGCAATAGGTTTTTCAACAAGGATGGGTGACCGGTTTTTAAAACTTCCATCTTTATGTTAATAATAATTTCTAACTCTTCCAAAATTATTCACATAATTATCCTTACATTCGGTGGCTTAATTAAAAATTTTTTATACATATCCAAAAATGAAGCTCTTAACTTGCTTCAAATAATTGCAGTATTTCTTTTGAGAAAGAATAAGCAGAAGTGCCCAAAATCTCAAAATCTTCAGGTGGGCGATTCCATGAGTGAATTTTTTTTTCTCAACTCAATTTTTTGTAAATATTTCCTTAATTAACTTCATTTAACGCCATATTTAAGATTTATTTTATTTATTATTATGGTATTTATGTATTTAAGTGCATAATCTTTTAGTTAAATCTGTCTGACAAAAGACATTTTAAAAAAACCAAAGTTAATCGGTCAACTTTACAAAAAATTGATTTTTAAATTTTCATCAATATTTCTTTGAATATCCATTGTTGTGTTACAAATCTATGATAAACACACGTGAAATCGCCTGTGCTTTATAACAATATCTTATTTGTATGTCTTTCTACTGTAATTAAGGAGAAAATTGGGGAAAACACCACTTAATCGGTCAACTTTCAACCGATTATTGCAAAACATATTATATATTTTTGTCAAAATGCAGCATAATTAAGACGATTAAATGCTAATAACACACGAATTGATGAATAATATGTCTTATTTAGTGAAAAGATATGTTGAAATATGTATATTTAAGCAGAAAAAGCTAAAAAAGTTTTTGAAAAAAAAATTTTCAGTTTCATTTACCCATGGAATCGCACCTGTGCTCGATATATTTTAAATTTCATTAAATTTTTCGAAAAATATAAGTGTATCTAAGATTGTTGTTATTTTTAAATTGAAAAATTTGATTTTGAAAAACTTTCCCTTTTATAACTTAAAATGAAAATAAATCAAATTTAGACGGTCCAATTTAAAATATTATTGAAAATATGAAATCATTGAAAAGAGTACATAATATTCGATGGATGACACGGTATGGACGAAATTTTCAAATTTTGGTCCATAACTAGAAGTAGACATAAATCAATTGCGGACGGTCCTATTAAAAATTATTTTTGTAAATTTGGAATTCTTAATGAAAATAGATTTAAGTGAGCTGAAGTGGCTCGGTGGCGGAATGGTTTAGTACTTCGGTACCTAATTATTGCAATACCGACACAGCGATCATGGGTTCGAGACTGGGTATGGGAAATTTTTCACTTGTTCTTTTTCGAATCATATGTATTGGAAATGAGGCTCACAGCCTTCCTTTGTAGGCTACAGACAGAAATGTCATCAAAGGAGTGGTTCGGATCCCACTATAAATTGTAGGTCTAGGTTTGAGTGCAGTGGTTTGGCGCATCCTCACTCGTTAAACTCTCATTAGCTGCGAATCGCCCTAGCGCACCTCTGGATCACAATTGATCTGAATAGGTAAAGGTTTTTTTTTTTTTTTTTTTTTTAATGAAAATAGATATTTTTAAACATATACCATGACATTGACGATTTTTTTAAGAAAATTTTTTTTTTGACGGTCTACAGCTTATTTTGGACATAAGTCACTTGTGGACGGTCCAATCCAAAATATTTTTAAAGATTCTGAATCCTACTAAAAAGTATTTATGTTTAGACATGTCACATTCCATATTAAAAACTGACCAATTTTAAGATCCAGAAAGGTACGGTCTGTGCCGAAACTTTAATGCCATAACTCCTGTCCGTTACTTCCGATTCGGAAAATTTTTGCATGACGAAATTTGACGAAATTAAGAGATGTGTTTTGATATATAATATGTCAGTTAAAGCTTGTTTTCAAGATTCTTACCAACTGAAGTTAGCCTGCAATATACCCAAAAGTTGAAGCTGCTGTAGCTTGTCAAGGAAGACTTGACGAAATTCGGGGTTTGCTTGACGAAATTCGACGATATTATTACAAAATTATAGTAAAGGTTTCAAGTCATTTGGTTACAACACGCCGGCTAACTTCAGTCACACTTAAAAAACTCAAATGTAATTTAATTAATTTTTTGAATTTTGTTGACTTTAACTGATTGCACTCATGAGTGTGCTTAGATGAGCTTATACTAATAAATAAACTCACTAAGCATAAATCTTTTTAGTATCTTCATGAGTATAAGCTCTTTAAGTATGTTCATGAGTATATAAGGTTTCTGGTTGCGGTTTTTGGAAAACCGAACTTTTTGAGTCGAATTTGCGGTTTTTAAAAAACATATTTTGATACAAAATCTAGTAAAAAACATTCAAAAACTGAAAATTGAATTCAGTACTTATCAACTCAATTCAGCTGAGTTTATTGTTATTTTTCACTTTTTCTTAACTTGCTTTCTTATCTATTTATTCCTTTTTTTCCACTCTATTTTATCTCCATTTAAAGGAAAAAGCCTCCTCAAACAGTACTTAAGGGCGATTCCATGAGTGAATTTTTTTTTCTCAACTCAATTTTTTGTAAATATTTCCTTAATTAACTTCATTTAACGCCATATTTAAGATTTATTTTATTTATTATTATGGTATTTATGTATTTAAGTGCATAATCTTTTAGTTAAATCTGTCTGACAAAAGATATTTTAAAAAAACCAAAGTTAATCGGTCAACTTTACAAAAAATTGATTTTTAAATTTTCATCAATATTTCTTTGAATATCCATTGTTGTGTTACAAATCTATGATAAACACACGTGAAATCGCCTGTGCTTTATAACAATATCTTATTTGTATGTCTTTCTACTGTAATTAAGGAGAAAATTGGGGAAAACACCACTTAATCGGTCAACTTTCAACCGATTATTGCAAAACATATTATATATTTTTGTCAAAATGCAGCATAATTAAGACGATTAAATGCTAATAACACACGAATTGATGAATAATATGTCTTATTTAGTGAAAAGATATGTTGAAATATGTATATTTAAGCAGAAAAAGCTAAAAAAGTTTTTGAAAAAAAAATTTTCAGTTTCATTTACCCATGGAATCGCACTTAAACTGTTTGAAAAGGCATAAAAAACCTTTAAGAAGATAGAAAGAGTGTTAATTACAATAAATAATTCTTCATATATATTGACAATTAAAATTGAAGCGAAGAGATCAACGAAACTAAAGTTTCCTTGAAGATCTCTTTGAAATGTGTTCGAAGCTAGCGATTAATCGATTTTTTATTGAACCAATTCAGCACTTATTGCAAAAAGTTTTCAATAAATTATTAAGTTTTGATTTCTTTTTCATTACAGTAGCTTACCAACAGATTAGCAAATAGTCTCTGCTCAATAAATTTTCAATATTAATCAAATCCTGTATGTTATATATATCATTCTGAAGCTATTCGTTTGTTCTTTCAGAAAATTTATTTTTAAATATTACGGTTTTATGTCCATTTTTTAAAGATAATATTCGACACCAAAACATTATCTAGCAATTTTTTTTTATAGAAAGCACTTTTATTAAAAATATTCAAAAACTTCAATACAGCAAACATTATATATCTCTTTGAAAATAATGGCAATGCCTTAAAATACGATATTTCTAATGGCTGTAAAAGCTTCTTTTTTCGAGTTATTCAAAAAATTTTTAATCGGTATTTTAATAAGTTCAAGTTTAGAATTATTGAAAAAGTTTTTATGCATTTGTAAGAGTTTACATGAAAACCGCAAAACCGCAGTTTTTGAAAAGTGCGGTTTTTCAGAAACCCTATGAGTATATGCTCTTTGATAATGTTCATAAGTATATTCAATGAAAAATGTTGCATTAAAAAAAATGTTGCGTGTGGCATGTTGCCTTCTCATTTAAGTATGCTCAGTGAGCTTAATGCGTGTCACATAGGAATGTGCTCACTGAGCATACTCAAAAAGGTACCGTGATCGCATCTCTTTAATAAATTAAATGAGCACATTCTCACAAAAGTTTGCAAGCTCACAAATAATGTGCTCTGAGTATACTCATTGTATGTTCGGGCATCATGATGAAAATTATTTAGAATCGAATAATGAGTATAGAATACTAATTGGGAAGCTGTTGTATATTAGCACAATACAAGAAAAAATTGTGGAATTAATGGAGGTATTGTTTCATGGTGCAGCAGAAAACAAGACGTTGCATCGTTATCATTAATGGAAGCTAAATATATCGCACTCTCAGAAAGTTGCAAGGAGCTGCAGTGGGTGAGATGTCAACCGATTCTTTTTCTGAGTTTATCGTTCCAGATAAAATTACTCTGTATACAGATAGTCAGAGTAGTATGAAACTGATATCGAATCAGAAATTTAGATGCAATAGAAATAAGCAAATCGATACTAAATATCACTACGTGTAGCAATTGGTTGATTTAGGAGAAATTGAATTGAAATATTGCATAGGAATCTTATTCTATTATTGAAATATTATTATCGTAAAAGAATTTAAGTTAAATTACATTTTATTATTCTGCAAGGATAAAAATAAAGAATCCATTATTTTAATTATCGAAGAAATGGCTTCACAAAACTTCACATTGCTTCACAAACCCTCTCAAAATCGGTCCCACCTTACTTCACACCTGACACCCACCTTGACAACAATTGGCTTAACACGGCTTCCGTTCTAGAGTCAGGGAGAGAATTGGGTGTTTATAATATAGATTTGAAAAAAAACGATGGTTCATTTTCAAAATTTTATTTTGCAATCAATTATCTAAAATTTAAAAGAAATCTATAATAAATAATTTTAACATTTAATTTAATTTAAATACGACTAAGTCATTGCACGCACACATAAATTAAAAAATGAATTGCTGTAATAAATGACAACAAAAAAACAATGTATTATGGAGACTTTACATTTTTTACATCAACTTATTAATTTTAAGAAAATTAATACTTGTGCGTATTAAAATAATAACGTTATTGATTCTGTCTCTTAAAAACATGTCAGAATAGTATCCAAGCATAGAAAAACAAAAGAAATAAATTAATAACAATCATATAATTAAACAAAAAAATTTGACTAAAAGCGCTTGGATAAAAAAATTGTTTTGACTTGTGAACAAACATATTTCTATAGTTCTTACAATTTAATTTAAGTAGACAAAATGACTAGAATCTTACTCATCTTCGAATTTAAGATACAAAAATTTTTCCTTAATTCTCTAATTATTTTTTATATGCATTAATTTTAAAATGTCTAAAAAGATGTATCCTCTCTAAACCATATAACAGTCGTAATAGTTAGGATAATTATTGAGGATAGTGTCAGGCGTTTCGCATATTGATTCAGCAAGATACTCTGTTATTCTTGATGGTAACTTCAACATTTCCAAACGATCTTTGGTCCTAACTAATTTCATTATAGCTGCACGACATCTATCTTGTAAATTCGCAAAATCTCTTTTCGTATTACATAAAATCTGAAATTATATAAAAAAAAAAAACATAAATTATTTTCACGGCAATTTAATATTTAATATTTTATAAACATTGGGTACAGTTCAGTTTTTTCCTCGTATAATGTATTATCATGTTATTTACCCATGAAATATCTAGTTCTTTAATTAAATGCGTCTATAAAAAAATATTTGATTAAAGAATTAGATACTTTCATCGGTAAATAACATGATAATACGTATTATGAATAAATGATATGGCGTTAAAAGCAGCCAATTAAAAAAATATTGACAAAAAACTTTGAAAAAAAATAGTTTCTTCACTCATGGAACCTCCATATGTTTATATCATTTATATATGGTAATATAAAAAAATTCTTGATAACCAAATTAATCGATTTTGATAAAATAAATTATTAATTTCAACAGGATAAATCCTTTAATGTTTCTCTTGAATTCAAAAGAAATTTCCATCTAACGGATTTTTGAGATTCAAATTTAATTAATTACAGTATAAAAACACTGTTTCAAGAATTTTAACTAAACGGGAGGCTAATAAATCGATGGAATTGAGCAAACCCTCTTTAGGATGTCTGGTTGATGAGATCTCATATCTCAATTTTTGCCCTTTCCGAACGAACGAACGAACGAACGAAGTGTAGTATTAAGCTACCTTTTAGAAACAAGTTTCAAAAATGCACTAAAAACAGGGTGGTAGGGATTTCAATATTAAAGTTTAAAATATTAATAATCAGCATGTTTTTGCCAAATAGTTTAGGATTTCTTTTTAACTTAATTTTCTTTTCAAAGTGTTAAAAAAGTCGAATGTGTCTCTAACAAAGCTGCGATAAAATCTATTACTATGGGTCCTCGATTTGAGTAGATTCGATTTGAGTAACAAAAATTAATGAATAGAAAATTTAAAAAAATTTTTGTAACGGACATTTTTCATACAAAAAGTAAATAATTCGATTTGAGTAGATTTTTAGCGCATTTTTGTATACTTATATACAAAAAGGGAGCTTAATAATGCACTTTGTTTGTTCGTTCGGCTGCTCGTTCGTCTGAAGAAAAACTTGTTAACCAGACATCGTAGAGAGCTCAGGTTTGTTTTATTAGCTCCGTTACTATTGTTTATTGTCCGATCGAACAGTTAAAAGTCTTGAAACAGTGTATTTATACTATAATTAATGATTTTTTTCTTTCATAAACAAAACCACGTGATGAGTACGTTTAAAAAATTTAACATTACCTCTATAATTTCAAATTTTTTCTAGCCGTTGTAAAATTTAAATTTCAAAAACCGTTAAATGATAAACTTTTTCTGTATGGAAATTCATTGCAACAAATTATTAATTATACTATAATTGATGTTTTTGTAGGGCAACTTTTAACGGAAATATTTCAAATTATTTATTGACCGTTAAAGAATAAAGCCAGAGTACCACCACTCCGAAAACGACCGTTATTTTTTGAAAAATGGACAAAAAAAATGGTATGATTCAAAAAAAATGACCATTTTAATTTAAAAACAAAATTGCAGTTAAAATCATGGAAAACTAAATCAGATTATTTATTTAAACTGGTTTAAAATGTCTCAAGGAATTTATTTGTTTACATTATGCATAACGGAAAAAAAATATTTGAACTATTTCGAAAACTTCGAAATTAATTTCGAAGTTTTCGAAAATGGAATGGCGGTAGTCTGAATAAAGCCTTTCTCTGATACGAACGATTCATGTTCGACAGACTTATCGAAAGTCTAGGGAAGTTATAATATGCACGTTCGAAAAGTTTAAATTTGAAAGAAACCGTTACAATTTTAGTGATTTTATTAGAGTTCTTGATCGTTTTTAAAAAGATTCAGCTATATTATGCTTTTCATTCAATGACTACATAATATTTTCATCTAAATTTCATACAAAACTTGTTTAATTTATGTTTTTATTTTTTGTAATTTTCTAAAATTTCGAACTGCAGGGTATGAAGCTTCGAATTTTGTATGGCAGACAGACAAATAAGACATTATCACAAGTTTTTTTGGAAACTGTAACGGTCGAAACTCTTGAATTGTTGACAGGCCTTTCTATATAAGCACTCATTATAATTATTTGTTAATTACACTCAAATGAATTATCTTCTAAACTTCTAATGATCTGTAAACGAACGCAAAATAATTAGATAATCAAATACTGATCTCTGCGTCAAGAATGCGCTGAAGTCCCTCGATCAATAACACGAGGACTTTTGTAATTTTTTTATAAAACAAAAGTTTTAAAAGTTTTTACAAAATAAAAGTCATAATAGCTCGACAAAAAAAAATCAAATTTTTACGGAAAATTTTAAATCATTTTTAATATGAAAGGCTAAAAGATAATCTTTACGAAAATTAACAAAAGATTTAATTGTAAAGTTAAAAAGTTCAGACTAGACAAGAAAAGGAAATATTGATATATTTGGAAAAAAATTAACTTTCTGGTTTAGTTTACAACTTAAAATTTTTTTCAATGATAAATACACCTAATTTTCAATTGAAATTTTTTATTTTGAACGTGTTAAACACAATTTTATATCAGTTTCTGAACAGAATCTACTATCGGGTTTGAACCCGGGATCCGGGATCAACAATCAATACCGTAATCCCGGGATTGAAATTTTGGTGCGGTATTGAAATCCCTACAGGGTGGTCTCTAGTATTTGAACTCTGTATTATTAAATCAAATCCGCATAAGCATTATGTTTATCAAACCAACAATTTTAAAACATGTTGAAATAGTTGTTGAGCATGCTCAAAATCATCATTTAACGTGCTCACCTGTGTACACTCAGTTGAACATGCTTGTGAGCACATTGTGAATATGCTCACAAAAACATGCTCATGATTTTTTATATACTTCACAAGTCAAAGTTTCAAGAATTATATGTAATATTCCCCTTTTTAAATATAACCATAATTAAAAAAATATTTGAGATCAATTTCGAAGTATTTAACTTCTTTATAGTTTATATATGAGTTTTTGCCATCATAAATTATATAGATAAATTGCAGCAGTGGTGTAATGGTTACGGTAATGGTCTTAGCGACAGAGCGGTCGTGAGTTCGAATCCAGGTAAAATCCAAAATTTTCTTAAGTGCCTTTTTCAGATTATTAATGAACAAAATTTATTCTAGAACATTAAAAAACCTTACAACAGAAAAATATATCAAAAAAATTATTGAAAATGATTAAGGGTAATTCCATGCTATAATTTTGCTATAAAATTTTCTTTAAATTGATTTTTTTCATCCTTAGGCTTTACAAAAGTTAATAAGATTTCCACAGGACATGTAAAAAGTCATATGGTATATGATTTGACATTAATTTTCTATCTAAAGTGGTTAATTCGTCCAAAAAATTATATTTTATAGCATTACTTGGTAACATTTATAGCGTTACCAAGTAACGCTCATGGAATCAATTTTTTGGACGAATTAACCACTTTAGATAGAAAATTAATGTCAAATCATATACCATATGACTTTTTACATGCACTGTGAAAATCTTATTAACTTTTGTAAAGCCTAAATATGAAAAAAATCAATTTTAAGTAAATTTTTTACAAAATTATAGCATGGAATTACCCTTAAATAATGTGAGTACACTCAGTGAGCAAAATATTTAAATTCAAAATGTCCGTTATAAAGTTCAAATATTTTTCGACCGTTATTTCAATCGTCAAGCTAATTTTTGATCGATTTATCATACAACTTTTACTATTACATAATTAATTTATATTCAGTTAATTGTCATTTGATTACACCAACTGCAATTGCAGTGCCATCTATATTACATTCATTGTTATTATAATTACTATTACTTCAACTGTTAAATATTCATATTTAGATTGGCTTTAATAAACTTAACTTAACTTAACTTAAAGAGTACACTCACGAGCACACTCACTGAGTATACTCAAATGTCACATCATTTGACATAAAAAATGTTGCATGTCACACAACAATTCGAGCATGCTCAAAATTTGTTAAAATAACGTGCTCAGAGCATGCTCAAAAACGTGCTCATTAGCGTAAAGTAGTGGCATCACTTTTCGTATGAAAGAGCACGCTCACGCGAGCATGCTCAGCACTAAATTTGAGCTCGCTCATAGTGTGCTCTTTGTCTATTCGGGAGAGAAGTTTCGAAAAATACAAAAAATAACTTACGTATCAATGACAATTTTAAACAAGAATGCAATGAGCATCGAATTTCCCTAATTGTACATAATTAGTATCTTTAAGCTTACCATTTCTGTTTTTGCGGCAGTCGAACAAACGATTGGATAAAGTGGCTCACGAACTTCATTTAAGCCACGAAATGCAACTCCAAGACACACGTCGTCTTTATAGTATGTTAAAGTTCCAGCAATTCCATCAAATAATATTCCAATCTTCGTAGCTTCATTCTCTTTAAACCGATTACAGAATTGCTTTGCAATTCCGTTGTTCCATATAAGTCCTTTATGAGATAATCCATACTTTTTGTATTTAAAAATTATATTTATATATTAATAAGCTTCAAAATAAAATTTTCAGATGATTTCAGTTTCTTACCCCATTTTTATCTTCTCCAAGGAGATTTGTGAATGAGTTTACATGCAATCTTGCAGCCTTGGTTCCGATTCCAAACATCATACTAAAAGTTTATTAAGTGAAAGGTAAAAATCTTACAATATTAAAAATACATGTTTAAGTCCCTACCTGGTTCCAAATACTCGCCTACTGACTTTCAATTCCCAAAAATATCGTCCATTATTTAAAATTCGTGTACCTCGAATACCTGAAATCAATGAATAAATATTTCAACTTGATAAATTTATGATAAAATTTTTATTTTATACCTGCAGTTCCTTTACTCCAGTTAGGATGAAAATGTGCTGTTCGGTTATTGTTACTTAAATAAACTTCTTGTGAGCGGTCTCGCTTGCTAAATGTCCATTGATCATCACATCCATGTATAACTAGAGGATGACTTTCGTGTTTATCGTGATTATTATTACTTTCACAAATATTCGTCATATCGAGCATATCATGTGACATTTTCTAATTTAATAATTGCGATTTTTTTTACAAAGAATTAGGTAAATACATCTAGGAAAAAAATGTAAAAAAAAATAAACTTAATTGAACCACTGCTATATATGTGTTAAAGAAACATAGTACAAAAAAAAATCGATATTTTTTACATTGATGTTTCATATGAAAACATGAAGACAAAATAAAATTAAAATGGATTTCACCTTTCAAATTTTTAATTAAATAATCGATACCTACATATGAAATGAGTTGATTTGGCAAACAAAACTATATTATTTCTAATATAATTTATTTAATTCTAAGCCATAGTTATCAAATTTATTTTAATATCCTCAGTTCGTTTTGTCCTTATGATAACAACATAATGGAATATATAATTACTTTATTGTACTTTACTTAGCAATTTGAATTTAAACTTGTTTTATTGATAATAATTTCCACTAATAATGAATTTTCTTGTTTTATTAATTTCAATGTCTACTGATCAAGAATTCTTAAAATGGAAAATGGGAAAATGTTTAGCAAAGATTTATACAATCCATGTTTTACGTGATTGTATTAGTGAGGGTGGTTTTGAGCAGTGGGTGGAATGGGATGAAATTTTCGAAAATTCGATAAGTAAAACCATTATTAAGAATATTTTTTTTTGCTATTTTAACTACTTAAATATTTTCAGAATTTGTGATTTTATGTTGTTTTAAAATGCCATTATTTTCAGTTTTATGAGAAACAGTCAATTTTTGAAATCATAATCGCATGTCTACACAAAAAACTCTCCAGTAATTTCGCATAATTTTTACGACTTTTTGGATTATCTTTGAAAAGAACTAAATTTAATTATTATAAAATTAATTTTTTTCAACAAGAAAAATGATTCAATATTTCTGTCGAAATTGGTCTATATTAGCGCTTATTATTTTAAGTGGAATCGTGGTTAGTAATAATGTAAATAGTCAGGAATCTAATCAAAAATTTGGAACAGCAACACCGACTATTAACTTTTTATATTGGTATGTTATTATTAATTGACAAATCTATATAGAAAACAAGTAACATCATGAAATAATATTCTTTATTTTTGAAAATATTACTTAAAGTAAATATTGAAGACGTCAATGAATTGACAATAATTTAATTAATTTATTTTAGTTATTCTTGTGGATATCGTAAAGCATTTGAGGAGTACGAACATATTCTACTAGAAAAGTATCCAGATATTCAAGTAAAAGGAGCAAACTATGAACCCTCTGGAATTAATATGTATTTATCTAAAGTTTTGGTTGTTGCAAAATATCTTTTAATGGCCCTAATTGGAAGTTCTTTTGATCTGTTTGGATTTTTTGGTATGGCACAACCAATGTTTTGGACTTGGGCAATTGAGAATAAATTATTTGCCATAATGATGACATTTTTCTTTGGAAGTAAGTATTATTGATTATGTTATCTGTTTATGAATCTTATCGCAATCCAAATACAAGGGTGATTTTTTGAAAGTTACTAGGATTTTAAAAATTTCTTAATTTATGGTTAAATGGTTAAATATCTTTAGAACAATATAGTTATTATACAAATTATTCACAAGTTTTATTCAAAAATAGTTCTATTATCTCATTTTTTTTTATATCCAAATATCAAGAGTTTCCTAAAATTCTTATAACTTTTAAATATCTGTATGTTTAATTTTTAAGTTTCTTTAAGGTACCTGTTACATTGAAACTTCTTTTATATTTTATTTTATTGTATGTTAATGCAGAGGTTTTTATGCCGCTTTAAATAGTTTAAGTACTGTTTAAGGAGACTTTTCCTCTGTGTGAAAGGAAAGAAAAACGAGAGCAATAAATAATAATAATAATAATAATAATAATTAATTGAGGTTAAGTGAGGTCACTTGTCGAAAATCAAAAACCTGTTTCCTACAAAACCGTACAATTTTTATAAACTTCTACGATAAATGTAGGAATTCTAAAAAAAAGGGAAAGGTCCATATTTTCAAGCAATTATCCTATCACTAATTTTGCTTTTATTTCATAGATATGCTGGAAGCTCAGTTGGTATCAAGTGGAGCATTTGAAATTTCGCTAAACGATATTCCTATATGGTCAAAAATTTCGACAGGGAGAATTCCTTCTCCCCAAGAACTGTTTGGTATTATTGAAAGCCATTTACAATTTACTGATAATTTCCTCGAAAAAAATCCCGAATTTGTAAAGTAATTTTGAGTGAAAAGATATTTACCCGATATGTAGAAGAAAAAAGATATGTGATCATATAATTGAAAAATAAATAAAAACACATCTTTAATCATTCTTCAATTTTGCATTGAGATTTTTCAATCGGTTGTTTTAGTAAATTTATTTAATTTGCTGATTTATAGTTTTTTGAAACAAAATAAAATATATTAAACTTTTCTCTTTGAGTAAAAATCTATTTAGTTAAAAAATTATGAACACAATTATTTTTTTTTTAAATTTATATTTAATTATAGCAATTTTTGGTGCATATTAAATTCTTTTTTAATTTTTATGGATTTTAACTTTATATCATTGTTGCTGATTTCTTTGATAATTTTTATTACGATTTTGGCGAGAACGTTGAGGAGGTCTCTTTCTTCTAGGCAATGGCTGTGGATTTTCTAGTGGTATATTTGGTTGAACAAATGCTACGTCTCCTCTTTGTTGTGGAAAGAATGTTTCCGTTTCTTTTTGTGAAAATGCTGAGGCATTTGGTATTGTTGGCTGTGTAGGACGTGCTCGGAAGCTTCGATCCATTTTCCTACAAACGGTACATCTACTAACCTTGCTTGTTTGATCAGCTTTCAATGTTTGCGGCCGAGGTTTTTTAAATTGTTCATGATCTTCAATGACAGAAAGCCAGTATGAAGTAATTCCATCATATATGTTGCATGTACCACGACCATGACATTCAATGACTGGTTGTGCTCTAAATTCCTCAAGACATGATCCAGGAGAAATTAGGTTTTGATGTGAATTTCCATGTGTGTCGGATGTTTGCATATAGTAACTGTAACCGATCCAAGCTTCTTCCCAACCTTGTGGACAGTCTGGAATTTCCATACTCTGACTATGAAGAGCAATAAGTCTAGTAGTTGTTTCACAAACTGAACAACGTGAAACGTATTTTTCCATCTCTCTAGCAGGAATTGGTGTCATTGACATGGGCATTGGTTCTCCTGTTGTAAGCCATACACTATCGTCATTATTTTCTGCATAGCTGCAAACATTATTCAAGTTACAGAACATAAATGGCATTGTTGAAAACTGTCTTAAGCATGATCCAGATTGACCTAAATCTTGTCCCACAGAACGACTGCTTCCAATTACAGATACAAAAGAATAACCTTCCCACAACAGATTAGTATTAGCAGGACATCTTGGAATTGCTATTGTTTGAGAATGACGGGTAAATACATATCCTCTGCTTCTTGGAGGAGGTCCTGGAGGTGCTGGATCTCCATTTATACCAGGTGGACCGCGGAAACCATCTAATAATATTTTTAAGTTTACGTTTAATATTAAAAATTTAAACCATTATTTAATTTTATTACCTAAGCCATCTAACCCTGGAGCTCCTCTGAAACCTGTTTAGATTTACAAATTTTTTTAAGTATCAACTCTATATTATTTAATTCATTAATTTAGTACCTTTTTCTCCCTTAAATCCTTGTGAACCGGGCAATCCTATTTTTACCACGTTTTTTAATAAATACGGAATATAAAATCGCTTTTAAATTTTAAATACTTAATATTACATACCAGTCAATCCTTGCAATCCTTGATAACCCTTTAGGCCAAGACGTCCTTTAGCACCTTGCAAACCTATTAAATAAAATAACCTCAAGCTTTAGAAACTTAAAAAAGTTAAAAGAGTTATTTAAAATACCTGGAACTCCTTTATCTCCGGGTTCTCCCTATTAAAAAGTTGATTAGATCAATTATTTATATACTTATATACCCCGAACATACAACGATGGCGATCACTCGGAGTGATGATCATAGTGATGGTAATCACTCTGGAACTCACTCACTGCCATCACTATGATGACCATAGTGATGGTAATCACTCCGGAACTCATTGACTGCCATCACTGTGAGTACCACATTGACTATCATCACTATGGTCATCATTACTGTACTCACTAAAACTTAAACTTTTTGAATGACAGAATTTTTTTTCGAATGTCAGATTTTTTTGTAATTACAATCAAGATGACAATCACGCCTACCATCATTGATGACCATCATTTGATGCCCTTACTTGTAAAATGTGATTGCAATCATGAAAGTAGTCACGACTACACTCAATGATGACCATCATTTGATTCCCTAAATTATAAAATGTGATGGCAATCATAAAGGCAGTCACGACTACACTCAGTGACGACCATCATTTGATCCCCTACATTATAAAATATGATTGCAATCATGAAGGTAGTCAAGACTACCATCAGTGATGACCATCATTTGATGCCCTAGCTTGTAAAATGTGATTGCAATCATGAAAGCAGTCACGACTACACTCAATGATGACCATCATTTGATCCACTACATTATAAAATGTGATTGCAATCATGAAGGCAGTCACGACTACACTCAATGATGACCATCATTTGATTCCCTAAATTATAAAATGTGATGGCAATCATAAAGGCAGTCACGACTACACTCAGTGACGACCATCATTTGATCCCCTACATTATAAAATGTGATTGCAATCATGAAAGCAGTCACGACTACACTCAGTGATGACCATCATTTGATGCCTTAACTTATAAAATGTGATGGCAATCATGAAGACAGTCAAGACTACACTCAGTGAATCCCATCATTTGATGACCAAACAATTATTTTCCACAAAATATGATTAACATTACTATCATCACATGAAAGTGAATGTCATATTTTACATGAATGTCAGAATTAAAAACAAATAAAACAAAGAATTTTTGTGAAATAAACTAGGTGTATATTGGATTGTAATCACTGATGGTAGTCAGTGATGATAATCATGATTGCATTCACTGAGTACATATGATAAAATATTAGTTAAATTAATTAATAATTTCATGAAAAAGAACATAAACATCAAAGAAATATGCAAGTTTATTTTTAAAAAAATTGGGACATTTAAAAATGTCAAATTGCCGAAAACGAAGTATCTATTTTTTAACAGGCAATGGCTTAGAGAACAAGCGAGAGGATTCTGCAATGAAGAGTGATCTAGAAGGTGAGTTCGAATCTCAGCAAAAACGGTAATTTTTCAAGTTTAAAATTTTAATCTAATCTCAATACTAATGATATAAAAATTAAGGAAATAATAATTCTACAAAATTTCAGCTTATAAAAACTCCTCTAAGCCAAAAAGTTAATAAAAAAACTTTTTAAAAAACACGCTTTTATCAAAAAGACTAAAAACCAAAAAGATTAAAATAAAATAAGATTACACTTATAGCGAATAAGAATTTCAAAAAATTTCTTGTGACAACCAAAAATGTTACATGAAATTTTTTCAAAATATTGTGATTAAGTCCAAGAACTTAATGACTCTAAAAGCGTGGGGCTTTGAGATTTGACTTTCTCTTACTTAAGAATATATCTGAACTAAGAAATTATCCTTAAATTACGCCCCACGCTTTTAGAGTCATTGTGTTCTTGGACTTTTCTTGACAGCTTTATCCGCTCATCAGCAGGAACTCACAACTCGACGTACGAAACAAACTTCTCATCTACAAGCTAGCCATCAGACCAATATTCACATATGGTTGTCGAGCGTTTGGAAGCATGGCAAAAACCAACCTTCAAAAACTTCAAGTACTGCAAAACAAATTCTTGAGAATTGTTCTCAATAAAACAAGATATGAAAGGATCACCGATCTTTATACAGAAGCGAAAATACCGTCCATCGAAGACTACGTCGGAAAGTTGCAAGCGAACTTCATCAGTCGTCTTGCATCTCAAAACACCGAATAAATCAAATGAAATACAAAAGAAAGTAAAATCCGTAAATGAAATCAAAATTAAGAGACAAAAGGCAAATTGAATGCCTGAGACCTTAAAACAAAAAGCAACAAAATGTATTGAAACTTTGTACATACTTAAATTTAAATGTAAATAAATAAAAAGTTTAGTTGAAAAAAAAAAGCTAATATAGATATAAAATCGATATAATTTTTTAAAAATAGCCTACTATGATCAAAACCAAAAATGCTTTAAATTGCATTTTAAAACATATCTAGGTATTATAAATGATAAAGAATGCTAATATAGATATAAAATCAATATAATTTTTTTTAAAAATAGCCTACTATGATCAAAACCAAAAATGCTTCAAATTGCATTTTTAAACACATCTAGGTATTATAAATGATAAAGAATGCTAATATAGATATAAAATCGATATAATTTTTTTAAAAATAGCCTACTATGATCAAAACCAAAAATGCTTTAAATTGCATTTTTAAACACATCTAGGTATTATAAATGATAAAGAATGCTAATATAGATATAAAATCGATATAATTTTTTTAAAAATAGCCTACTATGATCAAAACCAAAAAGGCTTTAAATTGCATTTTTAAACACATCTAGGTATTATAAATGATAAAGAATGCTAATATAGGTATAAAATCGATATAATTTTTTTAAAAATAGCCTTCTATGATTGAAACCAAAAATGCTTTGAATTGCATTTTAAAACATATCTAGGTATTATAAATGATAAAGAATGCTAATATAGATATAAAATAGATATAATTTTTTTAAAAATAGCCTACTATGATCAAAACCAAAAATGCTTTGAATTGCATTTTAAAACATATCTAGGTATTATAAATGATAAAGAATGCTAATATAGATATAAAATCGATATAATTTTTTTAAAAATAGCCTACTATGATTGAAACCAAAAATGCTTTGAATTGCATTTTAAAACATATTTAGGTATTATAAATGATAAAGAATGCTAATATAGATATAAAATCGATATAATTTTTTTAAAAATAGCCTACTATGATCAAAACCAAAAATGCTTTAAATTGCATTTTTAAACACATCTAGGTATTATAAATGATAAAGAATGCTAATATAGATATAAAATCGATATAATTTTTTTGAAAATAGCGTACTATGATTGAAACCAAAAATGCTTTGAATTGCATTTTAAAACATATCTAGGTAATATAAATGATAAAGAATGCTAATATAGATATAAAATCGATATAATTTTTTTAAAAATAGCCTACTATGATTAAAACCCAAAAATGCTTTGAATTGCATTTTAAAACATATCTAGGTATTATAAATGATAAAGAATGCTGATATAGATATAAAATCGATATAATTTTTTTAAAAATAGCCTACTATGATCAAAACCCAAAAATGCTTTGAATTGCATTTTAAAACATATCTAGGTATTATAAATGATGAAGAATGCTAATATAGATATAAAATCGATATAATTTTTTTAAAAATAGCCTACTATGATCAAAACCAAAAATGCTTTAAATTGCATTTTTAAACACATCTAGGTATTATAAATGATAAAGAATGCTAATATAGATATAAAATCGATATAATTTTTTTAAAAATAGCCTACTATGATCAAAACCAAAAATGCTTTAAATTGCATTTTTAAACACATCTAGGTATTATAAATGATAAAGAATGCTAATATAGATATAAAATCGATATAATTTTTTTTAAAAATAGCCTACTATGATCAAAACCAAAAATGCTTTAAATTGCATTTTTAAACACATCTAGGTATTATAAATGATAAAGAATGCTAATATAGATATAAAATCGATATAATTTTTTTAAAAATAGCCTACTATGATCAAAACCAAAAATGCTTTAAATTGCATTTTTAAACACATCTAGGTATTATAAATGATAAAGAATGCTAATATAGATATAAAATCGATATAATTTTTTTAAAAATAGCCTACTATGATCAAAACCAAAAAGGCTTTAAATTGCATTTTTAAACACATCTAGGTATTATAAATGATAAAGAATGCTAATATAGGTATAAAATCGATATAATTTTTTTAAAAATAGCCTACTATGATTGAAACCAAAAATGCTTTGAATTGCATTTTAAAACATATTTAGGTATTATAAATGATAAAGAATGCTAATATAGATATAAAATCGATATAATTTTTTTAAAAATAGCCTACTATGATTAAAACCCAAAAATGCTTTGAATTGCATTTTAAAACATATCTAGGTACTGGGGGTCCTCGATTTGAGTAGTTGTTTTGTTCCAAAAAATTTCTACTCAAATCGAATCTATTCAAATCGAGGCAAAGAATCCATACAAAATTACATGTTTTGTTCCTGAGTCCAAAAAATGTATCAAAACAATGAAAATTTTGATCATTTTTTGCACATTTTACCTCGTTTCTTAACTTTTCCTTTGTGTTTTAGATAACTTAATTTATTTCAACGCATATTCATATTGTTTTTAAACGGAAATTCACAAAAAAAATGTTTTTGAAACAAAACAAAAATATGAGAACCTTGCAAATGTTATTTCACTGAACAATTTGTAAGGTTTTTGAATTTGAACTTTTTAAAATCGTTGATTTTATATCGATTTTTTAACTTTTTAAATTATTTTTGTAACTTTAGTATTGATTTTTCTATCAATATGATAAGTTCACGCTTATCGCAGCAAAATTTATGTTTTAAAATTATTTTCTGAAATGTTTTTATCAAAAATATTTGTTTTGTAAACAATTCAAATCGAAGAAAACAGGAAGAAATCTACTCAAATCGAATATTTTGGTGGGTAATAAATTTTCTGTTCAAATCGAATCTACTCAAATAGAATCTACTCAAATCGAGGACCCCCAGTATTATAAATGATAAAGAATGCTGATATAGATATAAAATCGATATAATTTTTTTAAAAATAGCCTACTATGATCAAAACCCAAAAATGCTTTGAATTGCATTTTAAAACATATCTAGGTATTATAAATGATAAAGAATGCTAATATAGATATAAAATCGATATAATTTTTTTAAAAATAGCCTACTATGATCAAAACCCAAAAATGCTTTGAATTACATTTTAAAAATATCTAGGTATTATAAATGATGAAGAATGCTAATAAAGATATAAAATCGATATAATTTTTTTTTAAAAATAGCCTAATATGATCAAAACCAAAAATGCTTTGAATTGCATTTTAAAACATATCTAGGTATTAAAAAACCGTTAAAAAAACTCTTTAAAAAACACGCTTTTATCAAAAAGACTAAAAACCAAAAAGATTAAAATAAAATAAGATTACACTTATAGCGAATAAGAATTTTAAAAATTTTCTTGTGACAACAAGAAATGTAACATGAAATTATTTCAAAATATTGTGATTAAGTCCAAGAACACAATGACTCTAAAAGCGTGGGGCGTAATTTAAGGATAATTTCTTAGTTCAGATATATTCTTAAGTAAGAGAAAGTCAAATCTCAAAGCCCCACGCTTTTAGAGTCATTGTGTTCTTGGACTTAATCACAATATTTTGAAAAAATTTCATGTTACATTTTTGGTTGTCACAAAAACTTTAAAATTCTGATTCGCTTTAAGTGTAATCTTATTTTATTGTAATCTTTTTGGTTTTTAGTCTTTTTGATAAAAGCGTGTTTTTTAAAAAGTTTTTTTAGCGGTTTTTTATTTTCCACTTTTAAGTCTTAAAATCTTGCAATCAACTGTTTATTGATTACAGTAATTTTGTAGGTTACAGGTGTGTTGAACTTCACTTCGTTCCGTTCATCTGTTTATAAATTACCAGTTTTTAATGGAAAATTAGTAACGACTTTCAAAATTTTTCATTCGTTTTTTATATAATTAAATTTTTTAAAGCATTCATTAGTAAAGTACATTAAAAATCAATCGTAAAGATTTTGTATTTATCCGTGCCATTCCTAATATGTACATAAAGTGTGGATTCTTATCATAAAGATGCAAATCACATCTACATGTAACGTATTTATAACGGATTTTTCAAATTTAAATTCAATGAATGTCATTCATATGTTATGCAAAAATACTTCAAGCCGTTAATAAATAGAATAATTAACATAATTAAATTGGTGAAGTGTTATAAACATTGCAATACATTTAAAACAGCATAAGTTTATGCACAAATTATGTGTGTTAAATGCACATCGCATATTAATAGTTATTTTGCATTAATTTGTAACGGAATTGTGTTTAACGGTTTTTTTGAAAATTTAAATTTTCACTTACGAATATTTATGAAAAAATTACTTGTCAATTTTTTCATCCTCCCAAAATATCTTTAGCTGCTCAAATTTATGCTATAATTAATAATTAGTAATATTAAGTAAACTATAAAGAATCATATAAATGACTTTTGAGCATTTCAAGTATAATATTTAAACAAATCAAAATTTTATATCATTGACATTGGATTTTTTTTCCCATATAAAAAAGTTTTACTTAAATTGTACTATAATTAAGCATTTTTGTGGTTCTAAAGTGTTAAAATATTGTATTGTCACCGGGAATACGTGTGTATACAAAATTTGAGCACGATTGGAGCAATAGAAGTAGTCGAAAAATCGATTGCAAGATTTGAACGTGACCAACAGAGCAACTCAATAAAAAGCGTGTAAAAATTAAATAAGTTATAATATAAAAAAAATAATTTTTTCTTTTACTTTTTGAGTAGTCAGTGATTGTCATCATGATAGCCTTCACTGATTACCATCACGTGATGGCAATCAGATGGGTAAAGTAGCGTACTCACTTAATGTATGTGAGTGAGTATAGCATCACTCGTTTGAGTGATGGTAGGAATGATTGCCATCATTGTATGTTCGGATACCCTAGAGTTTTTAACTCTTTAATCTCAAAAATATTATACTGATTATTTTGATTAATTTAGCTACCTTTACTCCTCTTATGCCATCATAACCAGGGAAAGGTCGTCTTATTGAGCTTGAATCATAAGGTTCTCCTTTAAAACCTTTATCACCTTCCCTGCCTAGAGTTCAATTTATCGAAATATATCTTAATTCGTAAAAAAACAACAAATTTCAAAACATTAACATACCCATTAAACCTTTTTCTCCAAGTTCTCCTTCAAAACCGGTTAAACCTCTTTCACCTAATATTTTTGTTTTTTTTAAACCAAAATAAATGAATTATTCTAATTTTTTTTAAAAATGTTAATCAACCTTTCAATCCACGCAATCCTGGACGTCCTACATTTCCAACATCTCCATTTTCGCCTTTTAATCCGTCAATTCCATCGAAACCAGGCAAGCCTATGTCTCCAGTAGGACCTTGTTTGTTTGATTGAATGAGTTAAATTGAATAATCAAGATAAATTCACAATAAAATAGATTTTTTAAGTCTAACCTTTTCCTCCTCTCTTTGATAAACCTGTATCACCAATCTGGCCTGATTGACCCTCATCTCCTCTTATTCCCGGTAAACCATCTTAAATTCATTAATGTGCAAAAATTTTTTTGAAAATTTACTATTTGTATTTTCTCACCCAAACCAGGTAATCCAGGGGGACCTTGGAATCCAATTTCACCAGACATTCCTTTAGGACCATCAGCGCTGTTAACGATTTAATTATATAAATGAGTTTAAATTAGTTTCATTGCTTTACACAAAAATCCAACCTAGTTCCAGTTTCACCAATTAATCCAGGTAGACCATCTTGTCCGTAGTCACCAGGTGCGCCTAATTTTATAAAATATGAATAATATTTTTTATTTAACATACAAGAAAAAAAAAACTCTACAGTACCTTTTGAACCTCTTATTCCTTGTCTTCCAGAAATTCCATCAGAACCAGATAAACCTAATATTTAAATTGATTTTTTTTTTAATTTTTTGATATACGAAATTCCACAATTAAAAAGCATATACATAATTTTCTTTTTATTAACTTTTAAAAAAATATTACCTTCTTCTCCTTTATCAGCCCATTCAGCCATCAAACCTCGCTCCCCTTTAAAGCCTCTCTCCCCTTGAATACCTGGGAAATAAATTAAGTTTTAAGTATTACCGAATAAGCAAAGTGTATGCTCACAAAATTAAGCATAAACAAGAGTGTACTCATTTATAGAAGTTTATGTGCTCGTATAGCATACACTCATGTGCACTTTAGTCCTCCTCTGAGTACATTTATTGAATTTTTTGAAAATGACACGATCAGTAATGGCTTACTATATTTCTTTTAATTGATGCTGGGTTATAAGTCCAGAAAATCAAAGTCAATAAAGGTTTATAAGTCCAGATACAAATTACACCTCAACTTAAAAACCTCACGTGCAGTTCATAAGTCCAGGTACAAATACAGCTGGAATTATAAACTGGACGAGAGGTTTTTAAGTCCAGGTACATTTTATATCTGGACTTATAAACCTTACGTGTGGTTTATAATTCCAGAAAAATTATTTATAAATTTTACTTATAATCTTCTAGTGCAATTATAAGTCCAGATACATTTTTCTGGATCTATAATCCTTGAAAATTATTTGAAATTATTTAAATTTTTTTTCTTTAAAGCAATTATTCACATGAATTTCTGAAAACTTCACACAAAGAATTCACTTTTCTCTGATTTTTTCCCCTCTAAAGTACCAGCTACATATATATCCTTTTTAGCTGTTGTTTTTCATTAAAATCATTGCAAATAACTTATTAAGAATATCTTTTATACTTTAATTAAGGAGAAATTCTTTAGACAAAAATCAAATTTTATAAAATCAAGTTTTACGGTACTATCCTGAGTGGACAAAGAACTAGTCAAAAGCTTGCCACTGACTTGCCTATTCGTATCGAGTAAGTATCCTTTGACTTGCCTTTGCAACTAGACTTAGGGATGAGTAATGACAAATTTTGCACGTTCCATTTAACTGGACATAAGAATTGCACATATGTCTAGTTAATCTAGTAGCAAAAAAATTTGAAACCTCATTATTTTCCAATGCTAGCAAAGAGAACAGAGTCCGTTACAAACAAAAAAATTTCAAAATTTTCGCGCGGTATTTTTTAAAATTCCAAAATAAGAGAGTCTGTTACTTTTTATTTTTTTTAAACTAGCTGTTTTTTAAAGCATAAACATTTAAGGAATGCAATTTCATCACAGTGATGATCTTAAACATAAAAACTAGTAGAAATGTTCACTAAAGTTACAAATTACTCGAAAAATAATAATTCACAACGAAATTTTTTAAAAATAAGAACTTCGAAGATTCGATTTTCGAAAAATAAGAACCATAAAAATTCGAAGTTCGAATAATAAGAACCCAAAAATTTCTGTTTGCTACCATTGGATTATTTCGACTGGCTCATTTTTTTGATTTTTTTTTTCTTGGTCAAATTTACAATTTTTTAAAACCGTTAACTTAATTTTGCTTTGATTAAATCAGTTTTTCTTGAAATCTTGTGACATTTTTATGTAATCAATTGCTATTGAACATAATGCTGCTTAAATTTTCATATAACGAACCAAAAACTTAAAAATGTTTTTTGAAATTTGAATTTTTCGAACATGCATATTATAAATTCCCTAGAGTTTCGATAAGTCTATTGCTGATACGAACAATTCATGTTCGACAGACTTATCGAAAGTCTAAGGGAGTTATAATATGCACGTTCGAAAAGTTTAAATTTGAAAGAAACCGTTACAATTTTAGTGATTTTATTAGAGTTCTTGATCGTTTTTAAAAAGATTCAGCTATATTATGCTTATAATTCAATGACTACATAATATTTTCATCTAAATTTCATACAAAACTTGTTTAATGGCAGACAGACAAATAAGACATTTTCACAAGTTTTCTTGAAAACTGTAACGGTCGAAACTCTTGAATTGTTCGTATCAGGTCTATTGAACATGAATTAATCGAATAAGATTTATTAACAAAGTAATAAATAAATAATAATAATAATAATAATAAATAACATGATAATACACAATACGAATCCATGATATGGCGTTAAAAGCAGCCAATTAAAAATATTGACAAAAATATTTGAAAAAACTAGTTTTTTCACTCATGGAATCGTCCTTCAGTAAATATTAATGATGAAGTTTTTTAATAATGTTAAACTTTAAAGCACGAAAATTCAAAAACAGAGATTCCAAAAAATCTGAAATCCTGGGTTAATTAATGACTAATATTAAAAATTGTCATAACAATAAATCACAAAAGGAAGAAAGAAAAAACAATTGAAACAATCTCAAATAATTTTCAAGGATTATAAGTCCAGAAAAATGTATCTGGACTTATAATGGAACTCGAAATTATAAGTAAAATTTATAATTTTTCTGGAATTATAAACCACACGTAAGGTTTATAAGTCCAGATATAAAATGTACCTGGACTTAAAAACCTCTCGTCCAGTTTATAATTTCAGCTGTATTTTTACCTGGACTTATGAACTGCACGTGAGGTTTTTAAGTCCAGGTGTAATTTGTATCTAGACTTATAAACCTTTAATATAATTTTCTGTGCATGATTTTTGAATCTGGACTTATAACCAATAATTAATCTCAATAATCCCAAATAATCGCAATAATCCCAAATAATCTTAATAATCCCAATAATTTAATTAAAAAATAAATTAATTTGTGATTATTAAAATAATTTTTAAATTTTTCAAATTTAAAATTTATGAAATGTTAAAATTTTGACTAGTTTTGAAAAGAATAATGTCCCCAAAAATCTTTGGATACATTTTAAGTTCAGAATATTAATATAAAAATTAGCAAAAGTAATGAAATAGCCTTAAAACGTCAAAAAGTGATTTTTTTACCAACAAAATCTAGTGCACTAGTCAAAATTTACAAAAATTAATTAATTAATTTACTATGAGTTCTAATCAAAATAATCGTATATTAGTCCAAAAATCAATCAAACGATACGCATTTCCTCAAAAAAATTTCTTCAAATTAGGGTTTTGATTCGACAAACCTAGTAAAGCTAGTAGTGTCCTCGGCGATAATGACAGCAATGGTTAAATTATTGACATTTGGCTTTTATGGGGATAAACCAGAGATCCAAGCCGGATTTTTCATATTAACTCAACTTTTGATTTTTTTTTATAGAAAAAAGCCATTTAACGCCCATTGCAAGTATTTAAATTGAACTTTACATGCTTTACTACGATTCTGTGTAATATTTCGTCAGTATGTAGCTATAGTAAGCTCAGAATTTTAAGTTAGCCGATTTTTCTATCAAAAAAATCAAAAATTGAGTTTACCCGAAAAAATCGGCTTCGATCTCTGGGATAAACACTTAAAACGATGCATTTAGAAATAATAAGATGTAGGGAATACCAAATTTTACTTTATTTAATCTTCAATTTACTGTCAACATTCCCCGGTCCCCGATGAATCCCGGGATCCCGTTATTCTCGCCATCGGGATCGAAATTGAAAATCCTGATTTCAAATTTATATGGGGAAAAAATTAGGGACTTTTTTTTTTAAAAAAAAAGTTTTTGAGATCTGGTGCTTCAGCGTTATAGAATAATCAAAAACTTTTTTAAAAAATGATCTTAAAAATAGAACAACTCAACGAAGTTAAGTGAAAAAATTAAGAAAATCATGTTCAAAAATATATTTTTCAGGAAGAGAAAAGAAAGTTAACTGGCTTAAATATTTTTCGCATGCTTAAAATCGAAATTTTCATCTTTTTGAGTCATTGATGAAAATATCCCAGTCACTTAAATAATAAAGCAATTAGAAGTATGTACTGGGTGTCCTCGATTTGAGTAGGTAGGTGTTTTGTTCCAGAAAAATCCTATTCAAATCGAATCTACTTAAATCGAATTATTTACTTTTTGTATGAAGAACGTCCGTTACAAAATATTTTTTCAAATTTTCTATTTATTAATTTTCGTTACTCAAATCGAGGACCCATAGCAATACTTTAAACGAGCATTCTACTAAAATAACCTTAAGATTCCACAAAGCGAGGTTTTTGTCTGAAATACTTAGTACAGTAGTTGTCAAACTCCAACAAAACTAGTAATAAAGCCAAAAACTTTCCTTAGACTGATGTATTAATATGGACATTACTTAGGACACTAGTAAAAACGACCAAAATCTCTGAGAAAATGTCTAATCCTATTCCAGAAACCGATTGTTTAAATAAATCAGTCAAAATTGTATTTAAAATTATTGTATATGATCAAATTTATATTTTGGTACTCGACAAATACTTCAAAATGATATATTTTCACATTGTTTAAACTTTACAAGACACAATGGCTTCAAATAACATATTTCTTACAATTCATTTCCTCAAAAAATTCGAAATATTTGAATAATTTTTTTTCCAATAATCCCAATAATCCTAAATAAACCCAATAATCCTGAATAATCCCAGCATATTTTTATGTGTCCACGCCTTGTTATTATTACTATTTTATTTTATCTTCATTTGCTTTCATTTTCATTTTTCCAGCATCCTTTTAATTCAGTTATAAAACAAAAACTACGTGAAAAAAATATTCACCCTTCCCATTACCGCACCAGATAGTAAAATAAGATTTTTGCTCAGAGTTTACTAGTGAGTATTCTAAAGTGAGTACGCTTTTGGGCAAAAAGATTGGCACATATTTTTATATGAGAGTACACTGAGCAAAAAAGAAAAATTGAGCATGATCTTCGTGTGCTCTTTGCTTATTGAAATATTCTTCACTTCTTGGAAAGAAACATAAATTTCAATATTTTACCTTTCAATCCTGGTCTGCCATCTAGACCGAAAGCTCCCCTTTAAAAAATTTCGCAATATTATATGTTAACACAACTTTAAATTTTAATTGTTTTACATCATTCCCAAATCTCCTTTTTGTCCTTTTCTTCCAGTCAATCCAATATGGCCAGGAAAACCTTAAACAATTTTTTAAGCGAGAAATTCATAACTTAATATTGAAATACTAACCTGCTAAGCCAATGTCACCAATGTCTCCTTTTGTTCCCCATCTAATAAAATAAATTTTTCAAAACTTTTAGAATTTTAAATTAAAAGATTTATTCCTTACCCTTGACTTGTAAGACCAGTTAAACCAGGGAAACTGAAATAAAGCATTACATTCGAAAATATTTAATCATGAATAAAAATTTAACATCTACTAATTGATTAAAACTTTCGTTTTCGAATTTACTGCATAAAATCACTTACCCTCGATCACCAGTTTCTCCTTGAAGACCTAAAATTCAGAGAAATTTTTTTGTCAGTTTCTTCTTAGATTAGTATAAATAATTAAAATACCTTGATCGCCTCTTTCGCCATTCAACCCCCTTTCTCCCTTAAAAGCGAATCCTGCATCCCCAATTTCTCCGCTGGGCCCCTTTAATTATTATTAATTATCAAAGGAAAAATAATAATTGAAAATTGGATCGTCAAATAAAATAAATAAATTAAAATTTACCATTAGTCCCATTTCGCCAACGATACCAGGAGCACCTTTTAATAAAACATTACGCATAAAAGAACTTTTATTTTATTTATTATTTATTAACCTGGTATTCCTCTTCGGCCATCTCTTCCCTAAAAAGTAAACATATAACAGATTTGAGATACAAAAAAATTAAACTTAAGATATTTACCTTAAACCCAGGGAATCCTGCTCGACCAATATCCCCGGTTTCTCCTATTATTTGTTTTTTTTTTAAAAACAGTGATTAATTATAGATTGCAGTTTAACAAAGATTTGAACGACATTTCACATACCATGTTCACCCATCAAGCCATTGTCACCTCTAAGTCCTTTGAGACCTTTATTATTAAAATAAAAAACAAAATTTTATTTTTCAATATTTTTTTAACACTAATTCAAAAAGACTTTACCTCTTCTTCCATTTCTTCCACTTTTTCCAGGTAGACCCTTAAGTCCAGGAGCTCCATCAATAATCTTAGAAAAAAATTACAGAAGTCCTCGTGTTATTGATCGAAGGACTTAAGCGCATTTTTGTGTTAGCGATCAGTATTTGATTATCTAGTTATTTTGCGTTCATTTACAGATCATTAGAAGATTAGAAGATCATTAATTTTAGTGCAATTAGCAAATAATTACAATGAATGCTTATATAAAAAGGCTTTGTTATTTAACGGTCAAAAAATAATTTGAAATTTTCCCGCTAAAAGTTGCACTTCAAAAACAATAACTATAGTATAATTAATAATTTGTAGCAAAGAATTTCCCTATATAAACAGTTTATCATGTAACGATTATTTGAGATTCAAATTTTCTAACGGTCAGTAAGTTTTTGAAAGCTTCCCGCCAAAAGATATACAAAAAATCATTAATTACAGTATATTTATCAATTTAATATCTTTCATTCTCCTATATAAATTGTTTATCATTTAACGGTTTTCTGAAGTTCAAATTTTGTAACGGTCGTATGCATTTGAAAGTATTTTGCCAAAAATTACTTTAAAAGCATTAATTAAAGTATAAATAACAGTCTGTTGCAAAAAAAATTTCATTTAAAAAGACTTGGTAATTTAACGGTTTTTTGAGATGCAAAATTTTTCAACGGTAGAAATAAATTCGAATCTCTAACGCTCTCATCACGTGTTTTTTCATATGAAATATAAAAATCATTAATTATAGTACAAAAACACTGTTTCAAGACTTTTAAATGCGTTTCCCGAAAATAAAACAATGGAACTGAGCTAATAAAACAAACTAGAACTCTCTACGATGTCTAGTTAAAAAGTTTTTCTCCGCCCGAACGAACAGACATAGTGAGATATTAAGCTACCTTTTCGAAACAAGTTTCAAAAATGCGCTAAAAATAAGATTTGTGTAAATTATTTAAGTTGACTAGCTCATTTTATTACCATTCCAGCATCACCTTCTTCTCCCTTAAAACCTGGATGATAAAAATTATAAAACCTTAAATATTTGCATAAGTAATTAAAACCATACCAATTTTTCCAGGGATACCATCAAATCCTAAGAAATAAAAATTTACAATTTATAATATCTACTTAATGTTATTAAAAGCATGAACAGCAAAATTACCTCTCAAACCATTTAAGCCTGGACTGCCTAGTTCTCCTTTGGGTCCGCTAAATGATGCCTCACCTAAAATAAACATTTTGTGTTTTTTATCTGAAAGTAATTTGTAGTTTTAAAATTACCTTTTTGTCCTTGGGGACCAAAAATTCCTCCATCTCCACGGATGCCTTTTGGACCATCGAAACCAGTATATCCTAAGTATTATAATAAAAGTTAATAATTATCACATTTTGCTTATTCATCAATAAGTTTACCTGGTAACCCTTTGTCTCCTTGTTCACCTTTAAGTCCAAACAATCCAAATGAACCTCTCTTGCCTATAGTTTAAAATTTGATTTTTTTTAAAAAAAAGATCTTTTATTGGAATGGAAATATTAAAAAAACCTGTGAATCCTGAATTTCCGATATCACCCTTTTCTCCGAAGCTTCCTATTTCACCAGGCATTCCTACGATTCCCATGACACCTATGTTTAAATAAATTAAATATATTTTTTAACGACTTTAATTTTAAAAATCATAAATTTACCTGTGTCTCCTTGGGGTCCCTCATCTCCAATAGGTCCCAAAAATCCATCAAATCCAGTGTCTCCACGAATACCTTTTTTATTTTTTGAACAAAATATTTTTTTTTTCATGTAAATCGAGAAATACATGAGTATTACGACTGTATTCAATCAAATTAATCATACCTGGTAATCCAGTTGCTCCAACAAAACCTTCATCTCCCTTTTCACCTTTTGAATAAAACGAAAAAAAAAAAACATTTTCACTGTCTAAGAAATTGATTTTTGGTGGTTTTGAGAATTTATCAACCGTCGTTTAATATTTAAATTGTATTTGCAGCTGTACATAGTTTTTTTTCTCGTTGTATCCTTATTAGCCCCTTCATAGATTAAATAGTTTGTTTTTGAACTCCAAAGGATAAACATCAAACAAGCATTGTGATTTTCAAATTGAGAAAATCATCTAAAGGGCGATTCCATGAGTAAATGGAACTGAAAATTTTAGTTCAAAATATACTGTAATATGTTCGACTAATTAAGACTTATTATCCAATATATAAATCATTTTAATTATGCTGCATTCAGATAAAAAAAAATAATACAACAATGTATTTAAGGAAACATTGATAAAAATTAAAAATCGATTGACCGATCAGTATTTTAAAAATCTAGCTGTATTTTGAATCACATATTTTCAACGAATGCATTTATAAAACTGATTATCTTAATCATAAATATACACTAAAATTACAAATTACTCGAAAAATAAGAACTTATAACGAACTTTTTTCGAAAATAATATCCTCGAAAATTCGAAGTTTAGATAATAAGAATAAGAACAAATAATAATAATAATAACTCAAAAATTTGTTTGTTTCTTTTTTCTTTTGAAAACTTGACATCCTAGATGATTCTGGGGAAAGATGTCGTAATTGCATTTTGTTCTTTTACTTGTTATAACTCTAAAACTATAGGAGATAACATAGACATATTATATATTGTTGGAATTGACATCCAAAGAGCTATTTAATTATGCTATTTTTGAACCGGTTTAATCGGTTTAAACGGTTCAAAAACTGGTTCAAAGTTGAAAAACTAAGAAATTGAATAACTTTTTCAATACTTTATCAAAAGCTTTGCTTTTTAGCTCATTTTGTAGCCTTTAAAAATGCTCATAACTTGTTGGAGCTAGATTTTTGATTATCGACCTGTGACGTCATTTATGAGCCATTTACGTCGAAATTTTGAAAGCTTATTTCTCAGCAACTATATATGATACAATAACGATATATACCTTAAAAAATTTCAATTTTCTTATAAATTAATGAACATTAATAATTTGTGGGATTTGTGAATAAGTTTTGTCAAAAAATGATAGCAAAACTTCAATAACAAATAGTTGATTATTTTTTGATGAAATGGCAATATTTACTTTTATTTCGATGAAAAATGTGAAAAAATAGAAGAAAGTGGAATAGAAGACTAAAACTAAATGGAAAAAGGTACAAAAATCATTAGAAAACAATAAAAAAATTTTAGACGTCATTTACTCATAAACCCCAAGCATGTTATATATCATTTTAAAGGAAATTAAAAGCTTTTTTAATGCAATAAGAATTTTTTCCGTATTTGAAAGATAAGTATCAAATAAAGGTAAAATAGTGTTCAAAACATTTTAATGTTTTAAGGTTTTATCATTTTTTGACAAAACTTATTCACAAATCCCACAAATTATTAATGTTCATTAATTTATAAGAGAATTGAAAATTTTTAAGGTATATATCGTTATTGTATCATATGTAGTTGCTGAGAAATAAGCTTTCAAAATTTAGACATAAATGGCTCATAAATGACGTCACAGGTCGATAATCAAAAATCTAGCTCCAACAAGTTATGAGCATTTTTAAAGGCTACAAAATGAGCTAAAAAGCAAAGCTTTTTATCAAGTATTGAAAAAGTTATTCAATTTCTTAGTTTTTCAACTTTGAACCAGTTTTTGAACCGTTTAAACCGATTGAACCAGTTCAAAAATAGCATAATTAAATAGCTCTTTGGATGTCAATTCCAACAATATATAATATGTTTATGTTATCTTCTATAGTTTTAGAGTTATAACAAGTAAAAGAACAAAATGCAATTACGACATTTTTCCCTAGAATCATGTAAAAACTGAAGTCAAAATCGGTATGTTATAGCGTTAACATACATAGTCAAAGGAAATGAAAGATTTTGGTGATTCTCCAGAATGGTGGAATTTTGAAAAATAAACTTTTCTAATCCAAGGTTATTAGTGTTTGAATGATAAAAATCTTTTGGTTAATATCTTTTAACTACATTTGATTTTAAATATCAAAACAGTCTTAAATCATCAAAAATAAATCTTCTATTAAGTATCATTAATAGATTTACATAATAAATGATTCGTTTTCCAGGTAATTTTTTTTACGGATCGATAAAATAAAAGCTTAAAAATGCTCCGTGACATAAAGTTGACGAGAATCGATTTTTCTCTTTAATTAAGCTTTTTTCCTTAGATTTGAAGCATAAGTATGATAGAAGGGGGAGCATATTTTGTTGGAAAAAAATTTGTTGGATCGGAATTTTTTGGAATGGATTTTGTTGGAAAATAATTTGTTGGAAAATATTTATTAATTTCTTAATTTCTAAGCTAATTCTTGCATGCAAGTTTTTCCTTCATAATCTTTTTTATACTCTCAAGAGCATAATCAGAAGAGTTTATAAAAAGCATGATCATTGACATCCTCATGAGATTATGCTCAAATATTTCTTGCTATATACTTCACAAGAGAAAGTAGAAATCACTTTTATAAGTAATTATTTTGGATTTTGTATAGTTTAAATGTCTTTTCGCCATTTGAAAGTTATTTAATTTCAGAAGGCATTAGACAAGAAGAACAGTTATCAGGACATATTACAACACAGAGACAAAGAGCACGATCTGAGCACGATTTGGTACTAATTCAGAAGGCTTTTTCCTTAGGAGTAATGCAAAAGAGATTAATAAATTAAATTAAAAGTGATTTCTGCTTTCTTTTGTGAAGTATAAAGCAAGAAATATTTGAGCATAATCTCATGAGGATGTCAATGATCATGCTTTTTATAAACTCTTCTGATCATGCTCTTGAGAGTATAAAAAAGATTATGAAGGAAAAACTTGCTTGCAAGTTATTTATAATTAGAGGATGATTGAGTCCGTTATTGAACATGCTCTTTACGGGGATCTTGAGAGGATGTTAAAAAAGCGTATTCTCAACCGTATTCTTGATCAAGAGCATGCTCTTTGTCTGTTAGGGTCATTTGAAGCATAATAATGTTGAAAAATAAATCACGGAAATCTCATCTAATCGAGCATTAGTAAACAATTTTTCTGCTTTTTGTTATTATATTTTAGGATTATAAGTGTGTAATTAAGGATTTTTCAACTATTTTAATTTTTCATAAAATTGTGTCTTTGTAAATAATTTGAGTTTTGACTGTTTTGAATATTTTTCAGAAAATCAATAATTTAACTAGTTTAGACATGCTTTTTAAAAATTTTTAATAACAAAGCATTATAAAGAATTGTTAACGAGCAATTTTTTATAATTTTTGTATCTTGTAATGGAGTTTTCGCAAATTTATGAATAGTTTTTGTTTTCCATTCATGAAAATGGAACTTTTTAGGAGAGCAAGATTTCGGTAGCTTTTGTAATTTTTAAACTTACTAAAGCATTTTAAAGAAAGAAATTCAAATCAAACTCTGTATTCTTGGGAGCTTAATAACACAAATTTTTTTTAATTAATAAATAATGCAGGAAAAGAGAAAATAGGGAAATCATCTGGTTTCTGACACTCATAAACCAAACGACCAAGTCCCCTCATTGTGATTTTCCAACCTCAATTAAAGGTAAAATATTAAAGGCTTTACCTTTCAATCCGAAGAGACCGTTTCTACCATCAATTCCAGGTAAACCTTCTTCACCACGATCACCCTAAAATACAAAAATATGTTCAATAATATAAAAGAAATTTTAAAAATATTTTGTAAAGCACAACTCACAAATATAATGTCTCCTCGAGCACCTTTGTTTCCAGTAATACCACGTCTATAACAAGAATTAAGTTTTTTTAGATTTTCTATCGTTGTGAATTTCGTGAAATTTTTCTTTAGTGTATTATCCCAATGATTTTATACGTACAAGCCTTCTGCACCCCGTTCTCCGTTTTCACCTTTAACTCCTTTGACACCAGCCTGTCCTCTTGTTCCAATTAGTCCTGTTATTTATTAATAATTTTGAAAATGTTTTTTTTTTTTAATTTATAAACAATACCCTGATATCCTTGATCTCCCTTGTCACCCGATTCGCCTTCGTCACCGTCTATTCCCATTTCACCAAATAAAATTGCGACTCCAGGCAAACCCCGAGATCCTTAAAATCAATAAGAGATTATGTTTAATTAATTAAATAGATAGTATTTTTTTTTATAATAAACCTTTTAAACCGGTAATTCCATTGATTCCATTTTCACCAGGCAATCCCGGTAGACCATCTTCTCCTCTTGGTCCATAATTTCCTAGAAAACGACTTTTTATTATTTTTTCTTACTAATAATATATTTTCAAATTTACCAGGAATTCCGGGGTAGCCTTTTACACCAACAGGGCCCTATTTAAGAAGAAAATAAAAGAGATTTATTCGAAAAAGTTCAATTGAGTATTTGATGTCATTAACTCATTTGATATGATATTTCAACAGTACAAAAAAAATTATTTACTTCTCGTATTTCACCGGTTAAACCTTTTAATCCAGTCTCTCCTTCATCTCCTCTTTTACCCTTTTCACCTAATGATACAATGTTCAAAAATCATTAAGTTTTGAAAATCTTTAAAAATTTTTACCTTCGGCACCAATCAATCCTTTTGAGCCCTGGAGTTTTTAAAATTCATTAAATATTAATTAATAAAAAAAACTTTATGTGACAAACATAAAAACTTACCGGGTAACCAACAGGACCTCGTTGGCCTTTGAATCCTCTTTTATCTAGTAATGGAGGCCCAACATAACCCATTTCACCTTTTATTCCTTTTTCACCACGATCACCCCTTTGTCCACTTTAAAAAATTTAAGATTTACATTTTAAAATAATTTTAAATTTACTATTTATTTACGTTTTTCCATCAAATCCTCTTTCTCCAGGCTCCCCGCCAAAAGTAAACATGTCTGCGTTTTCTTTAATGTAAAAGAACCATTTTAATAAAAGTTTGACAAATTCTAATTTTTTAAGTTTACCTCCAGCAAGACCATTTCTTCCATCAAATCCATCAGTACCATTTTTACCAGGTAAACCAGCTAATCCCTTGATGTTAATTTTCTATTAGTACTTACTTAAAGTTAAATAAATAAGAAAGTTACCTCTAAGCCATTATATCCTTGATCTCCAATTTTGCCATCTACACCTTTTTCACCTAAAATTATTAAAAGAAAAAATAAGAACCTAATGACTTTATGTAAAAATCTAGATTACCATCTGGTCCATTATCTCCATCGGGGCCTTGTAAACCTTAATTGAAAATGTGATATAATAATAATTGATGCAAAAAGTAAAAATAAAATATAATTAACATTTCTTACCAGGATAACCTATAAAAATGAACATTTAAGAAAGAAAAAATGTTACTAAATGAGTGAATTAAGGATTCAGATTGTTCTACCTTTATCTCCAATGTCACCAATCTTTGGTTTTACTAGCTCTCCTGCGTATATAACCGTTCCTTTGTGTCCTTTAGCTCCCTGAACACCTACAATTGATCGAACATCAAGAATAACTAAAGAGTTTTAAAATTATTTTTTTCTCTTACCTGGTAGACCTGGTTGTCCTTGAGTACTTTGTTGTTAAAATAAAATCAATCGTCGATTTTTATTAAATAAAAAAAAAGTAAAATCTGTTAAAACCTAAAACCTTACCCTTGAATACCAGGATATCCTAAAAATTAGAAATCAATTATTAGAATTTTATTAAACTATTATAAAACTAGTATGATCTCGCATAAAATATATTTTTATTTTGGATCTTTTTAGTATATAGTGAGATTAAAAAATTAAATTACCACATTTCTTTTAAGGGCCTACCATACACGTAAACTAATGCTTAGTGTTAAAAGGAAATCAAAAGTAAACAAATATATTCTCAAGACCGAGACCGAGACTCGACTTCGGTATCGGGAAGGCATACTATCAAGGCACTTTTGCTTCTATTTTTAAAATTTAATTTATTATTCTTTTAAATAAATCAATTTTCACAAAAAAAAATCTTTAATTCAATAGGATTTGTCATCATACCTTTTTCTTGAATTCAAATTTTTTTTCATTTTTCATTTTTTTTCATCACGTGTTTTTCATATGAAATAAAAATCATTAATTACAGTATAAATACACTGTTTTAAGTTATCTAACTAATCAATACTGGGATAAAACGATGAAATTAAGCTTTAAAATTAAAATTAAAATAAACCCGAGCTCTCTACGACGTCTGGTTAAGGAAATCTCAGTTCCCAGCTGAACGAACGAACAAAGGATGCTGGGTTATAAGTCCAGAGATTATAAGTCCAGAAACTATAAGTCCAGAGATTATAAGTCCAGAAAATCAATGTCAATAAAGGTTTATAAGTCCAGATACAAATTGCATCTGGACTTAAAAACCTCACGTGCAGTTCATAAGTCCAGGTACAAATACAGCTGGAATTATAAATTGCACGAGAGGTTTTTAAGTCCAGGTACATATTATATCTGGACTTATAAACCTCACGTGTGGTTCATAATTCCAGAAAATTTATAAATTTTACTTATAAACTTCTAGTGCGATTATAAGTCCAGATATATTTTTCTGGACTTATAATCCTTGAAAATTATTTGTGAAACTATTTCAATTTTTTTATTTCTTTCTTAATTATGAAAAATTATGCATTTGACAATGGGCGATTCCAGTAGGGTAAATTGCAAAAATTTTTACTTCAAATGAATTTTTTGTCGAAATTTTCCACTAAACTTTACTAGGTTTTCAGTTTATCTGATGTAATTTGTTATTTCCTATCTATTAATTTATTTTTCTAAGCATGAATTGTCCTAATTATTAAGTTATTTCGATTCTTCGGTCCGTTGCTTTGTGACCAAAAATGGAATTTTTTAAAAGTTTCAACAGGGTTTTCAAATTTTGTATCAAATATTAATCTTTGCAGCATTAAATGAACACTTAATGATCGATTAAGATCTGTTTTAAAATATTTATGCTTCAACTTTATGTCACAAAGCAACGCAAGAGCTTTTCCGAATTTTCCTAATCCGTTAAAAAATTTTTTGATCAAAAATACTGTAATTCTGAATTTTGAAGCTACACTTTTGACAAATTTCATAATTTATAATAAAAGTAAATTATTATTGATGGTTTTAAACTAATTTAAAATTTCAAATCATTCTACATTGAAAGAAATTGCAGAATATATATTTATGATGTAATCATAATTGACAACGGATTATAAAAGCTCATTTTGAAAAATTCGACCCAAAATCGCTCAATATAGCAGCTGATACCGGCTGATACTTGAAATAAGTCAATCAGAAAATCCAAGATAGATGACATTTTTTTGACTTAATGGCAAACAATCTCGCCTTTTCTTATGGCTCTAGTTGGGTTTTGATCAAAATGGTTGTTATGCCGTTCATTCTATCATCTTCTATGTTTCTGCATACTTAAATTGACTTGAAAGACACCCAATTAACAGAAAAATAAACAATTTTAATGCAACTAATGTAATATACCAACGCTTAAGCCAAATCCGTGAGAAAATGATATTAAAATAATCAAGTTTACGGAAAATAAAAGCTGAAGTTTTTCGGAGACATAAATTTACATCAGAAGAATTGATTTATGGGCAATTCTTTGGATGAGTGGAATTTGAAAAAAATGAGCTTTCATAATCCAATGTCAATGAGTTTTGTGTCAATAAAATGTTTTCTTTAATTTCATATTACTGTGAAGGAATAATAAGCCAGAACTTTTGTAGGTCATTAAGCATAATTAATTCTTTACAAGTGATCTATTGAAATGTTACAACTCACCCAAATTAAGTGAAAAATTGAAAAAATATGTTTGAAAATTTTGTATTTTTTTACGGATTAAGACAAAAAAAAAGCTTCTTTATAACTCGATGACACAAGGAAATTTTTTCAAAGAATTGAAATATTTCATTAATTACTAACTTAATGCACACAAAAAAGCAACCTAATTAAAGATTTTTGTCTGTTCTATAACTCAGTAAAAGATATTCAATGTGGATTTCAATAGTTTTCTCTAATTTTCGATTCTTTGGATGATGAAAATTGAAAATTCCGATTTCTGTCATCGAGTTATTGACAAAAGAATCCAAATAACTTAATTAATACAGCGATTAGAAGTATATGATATCAAAAGGAGTGTACATTTTATATTTTTACATCGATAAGAATCATAAAATCAGTGCCTCTGATGGGAAAAATCAATAAAATTTCGTAATAATTTATTATAACTTAGTATGCGTATGATACATACAAAACGTTTCTTTGACATTCAATTTTCAATTCTACGGATGCTGAAGAAAATTCGATTTTTGTTTAAAGAATTTCTCCGTATTTAAAGTATAAACGATTTGTGTCAAGTTTTTTAAAAGTTCATGTTCAAAATTAATAAAAAAAAAATTGAATTAGTTTCACAAATAATTTTCAAGGATTAGGATTTCAAGGAATCGCACTAGAAGTTTAAAAGTAAAATTTATAAATTTTCTGGAATTATAAACCACACGTAAGTTTTATTAATCCAGATATGAAATGTACCTGGACTTAAAAACCTCTCGTCCAGTTTATAATTCCAGCTGTATTTTACCTGGACTTATAAACTGCATGTGAGGTTTTTAAGTCCAGGTGCAATTTGTATCTGGACTTATAAACCTTTATTGACTTTGATTTTCTGGACTTATAATTTTCTGTGCACGATTTTTGTATCTGGACTTATAACCCAGCATCAAAATTTCGTCCTCTAAATTTACCTGGATTAGACAAATTTGTTAGCAATAAAATATTTCTTCTTCTTAATCTTAATATAATTATTAGAAGGAAGTGGCTCAGCTTAGAGCGGAATGACAGTAAGAAAGAAAAATGAAAGCTTTTTTATTATTAAAATACATTACGTACCTGCTAGTCCTCCTCTACCTTTCATTCCTTTATCACCTCTTTCACCAGGTAATCCTCTATTTCCTTGTAAACCTTGGAAGCCTCTTCTGCCTAAAAATGATTTACAAAAGAGCCAAATTAAACGATTCTTACATGTTTTAAAAACTTGAATTTTAGTTTCATACCCGATTCTCCTCGTTCTCCCTTTTTAAATTAAAACAAAAAAAAAATATAAAATAGAGTAAAGTAGGCCAACGTGGGCTTTCCCAATTTCCAGGTTTTGCGAAATTAACGGGAACGGGACCAAAATTAAAACTTGAATATCTTCTGGGCCAATGAAAAATTCAATTTTTCGTATTTAAATGTTGAGAAACTTAATAGTAGGGTAAATGACTTTTAAATTTGCGCCCTCGTATGAAAACGAAAATTTTAAAATTATATCTGAAAATTGCACTTCTATTCAGACGATCAATGGGAAATGTCTGCAGAACACAAGCACAGATGTTTTTTCATAAGTTTTAGTGGTCTTAAGGCACTAGAAAGCTTAATAATTTATTACCAAAAACTCCCATACAAAACTTAAATTTCTTTACATTTTGATTTTGAGATGCATGCATTGGTATAGATTAAATTTTGGTATCAGAAAATGTAGATCTGACATTGCTTAACATTTTTCAAATGGTTCCAATTCAAAATGATACCTGGAACTGCTTTAAAATTCATTTTTAAAATGGCTTGTTTTTGAACCTTGAAATTTGCGCAGATTTTACGAAAAATTTTGAAATTTGCGCAGTGAAAAATAAAGGTCCTTACAACTGAAGAAGAAGTCAAAATTGCAAAGTGGTGTATAGATTTAACCAAATAAGGCGATCCAAAAACTACAGAAGATTTGAAGGAAACTGCTCAAAAATTAAAGGAACTTGAGGATATGAAAGCTCAAAAATGAATTGACCGAGAAAAAAAGAAAGAATTGCGTGACAAAATTATGAATATTAAAAAGGAAAAACATGAAGCATCAACTCAAGTAATCAGGAAACGTGGTCGGCCAAAAAAGGCAATAAAATGAAGATAGCTTTTAGACTTTATACTAAATTTTAAAATTGAATTACTATGGATACATCATTTTGCTTGTTCCTTTTTGAATTTATTATGTACTTACTAAGATTGTCCTGTTGAACATTAATCTTTCACGGATTTTCACGAAACTAAATCTAATCATATAATTTGTTAATATACATCATCATTTCCCTTATATTTTGATTAATGTATTTTAAAATTGGATATGGTTTCAACAATATTTTTTCCAAGTTTCAATATTGCTGTCAAAAAAGTGCGCAAATTTCAAGGTTTTTTTGCGCAAATTTCAAAGTTTTCTGCGCAAATTTCAAAGTTCAAACTTGAAAGTCAAATTTCTTGGCATTGACACAGCAGAGCAAAATATCAATGATTCCCTGCATTTCAAGATCGTTAGTAGGGCTCAATTTCAATCCTCCGAAGAGCTTGAAGCAAATGAAATTTTCTTGTGTGAATTTGCGCAAATTTCAAGGTCGTTTACCCTAAACAATTTAAAATTAAATTTTCTTTCAAAAAATTTGAAACCTTCAAAATACGAGCGTTTAAAATTTTTGGTTTTGGTCTCGGAAAACCCGGGACCAAGAAATCGGGATAGCCTAGAGTAAACGAAGTAAAACATTAACTTTATATTACCTTTCCACCAGGCAAACCAGGAGGACAAAAACCACAATCATCTCCTCTCAAACCTTTGTCCCCTGTTTAAAAAGCATTATATTATATAAAAATTCGAATTAAAATAGCTTTTAATTTTACCCTTTTCTCCATCAAAACCATCATATCCAGCATCACCTATAATATATTCAAATAATTAACCATTTATTTTCAAACACTCTTTACCAAGAGTTTACCCATTGGTCCCTAAAATAATAAAAAAAAAAATTTTATTTTATTAACATTGAAAATTTTTAAATAAAATTTTAGAATTACTTGTTTTCCAGGCAAACCGTCAGGTCTGAAAATAAAAAAAAAATACATTTAAAGTCATATCAAGATATATAGATGTGCTCATACAAAAACACTAACCCTAAGAAAGATATAATATAAAATTGATGCACTTATTGATATTTGAGTGAAGATTTGAAAATATAAAATATTTGTTTGTGTTAGTATTAAAAATTAAGTATGGTCTAGTACACTTTGTATGAGCACTATAAATCTTGGGTCAAATAAAAACAAAATATGTTTAATATTTTATAAATATACCCTGGTGGTCCGGTTATATTAAAACCTATTCCCGGCAATCCTTTGTCTCCAGGAAGACCTTTAAAAAAATATTTTAGAATTTCGCTCAGTAATAAAATATAGTAGCTATTACCTGGTTCACCAGGGGCACCTATTCATTTGAATAAAGTTTAACAAAATTAGATATGCTTATTATTACTGTTTAAAATAATCATTATTTGTACCTGGTAACCCAGGAGCAGCATTTCGACCCGGTTCTCCTTGTTCTCCCTTTTCTCCAATCTTGATAAGAAAAACAAAAAATTACAAAAGTCCTCGTGTTATTTATTGATCGAGGGACTTCAGCGTATTTTTGACGCAGCAATCAGTATTTGATTAGCAAGTTAAGGCGTACTAAATACCAAAATAAAGTATAAATGCCCTTAAAGCTTACAAGGCCATCAGTAATACAAAGAAAGCTTTTCATGCAAAAGTATCTGTGTGTAAAAGAAAGGATGGCAGTTTAGTGTTCGACAAAGATGGAGTCCTAAAACGCTGAAAATAGCACTTCAATGAACTTCTCAATGCTGGAGTGAACGAGAATATGGTGAGAGTTAGGCGACCCTACGAAATGGATGATGGTAAGGAGTTTGATCCTCCATCATTAGATGAGGTAGCTACAGCTATATACGGCCTTAAGAACAACAAGGCCGCTGGTTTGGATAGCTTGCCTGCTGAGCTTTTCAAGACGGGATGTGAGGAGATAACTTTTGCTCTTCATCAGCTGATAGTCCAGGTGTGGACAGAAGGAATGTACCAGAGGAATGACACGATTTGCCCAATTCATAAGAAAGGGAAAGACGGGTTTTAGACGGCAACGTTTAACATCTGATCAACTGTTCAGCATTCGTCAAATAGTCCAGAAAAGTTATGAGATGAAGGTGGAAACCCTACATCTTTTCGTGGACTTTCGTGCAACATATGAGACCATAGACAGAGAAGAACTTTATAACATCATGATAGAATCATGGTCAAGTTAAATTGTGTTATTAAATAATTTAATATTCAAGTTCGATTTGGTGAATCTAACTCATCCATGGAATTGCACACATGCTGTAGAAAGAAAAACCAGTGAATCCGTGTTTTCAATTTTTTTGATAATTAACGATTTTTAGAATTCAGTTTTAACAGATTTTCCAAATTTTAAATTTATATAGGGATTAAAAAAAATTGAAGAGTTTACACTCTATTAGGAAAATTTCGGTTGCACTTACATTTGCATATACACACCAATGCACACTGTTTTAAGACTTTAAACGAATCGATCGGTCAATAAATCAATAGCAACGGAGCTAATAAAACAAACCCGAGCTCTGTTCGAAGTCTGATTAAAAAGTGTTTATCGTCCCGACCGAACTAAGTGTATTATGAAGCTACCTTTTAGAAAACAATTTTTCAAATACATGTGCGCTAAAAATTATCAATTCAGTCATTTTAACATAACAAATTTAAACTTACTATATCTTCGCCTCTATATCCCATTGGTCCTTTTGGTCCTTGTGGTCCGGGATATCTAATTATTAATAAAATAACAAAAACAAATTATACAATAATTTTTTTTTATAACAATTTCAATCAATACCCAGTCAATCCAATAGGACCAGTTAATCCTGCTTCACCATCATCTCCACTTTGACCTTTTTCAGATGTTCCAGGGCGTCCTCTTAAACCATCAGTTCCACTATCACCAGGTAAACCCTAAATTTGTTTTTATTAAGCAAGTGTTTTTTTCATATTCACACCATATTTTCAATTCGAGTTAATTGCATTATTTTAGGTAATGTAATGAAACCACTTTTGATTTATTTACTGCTTCAGGCTTGCGGAATCACATTTTTGCAATAATTAATCGCAAATTAATCGGTGTTTCATACTCAATTTTAAGACTTCCGGTTTATAGTAGTTTGATATTGATGAAATCTTAGTGCATACTTTATTACGATATAGAAAGATAGATTGATTGATTGATTAGGGGTCGTTCTCTTATGACGATCGAAATTAACGGTCATTTTTCAAAAAAGAACAATGGATTTCCAGGAATTTCTATTGTTCTTTAAAAATTACCATTGTAAAAAACTTTGTCAACAATGAAATTGTAAAATTTAACAATCATATTGTCAAATTATGATTTTTTTCATCTACGTAAATTATTACGTAAAATTTCATCACGTAAGAATCATTTTTACATAGGATTTCATCACGTAAAGCAAAAAATGCAGTAAAATCACACCAATTATTAATAATGCTAAATAATAAGAACAAGAGGTAGAATAGATTACTTTTGCTTAAAAAACTTGCATAAAAACATTTTATACGTCATTTTTTGCTTTACGTGATTAAATCCTACGTAAAAATGATTCTTACGTGATGAAATTTTACATAATAATTTACGTAGATTACTAGATTTAGAAAATAAAAATAGTAGATTTAGAAAATAATGATGTTTTTCATCACAGATTTTTTTCATTCATTTTGGTCCATGCTCAGAAACAAAGCTCACTTTTCATAATGAATTTTTGTTTAATTTAGAGTATTCATAACTTAACTATAGTTGAGTTTTTTAAAATTTAATATTAACGATGACCACTGTAAAATTAACAATCACCATCGTTACGTTACAATCTTATCATTATTTGATTGTAAAAACAAATATAACGATGAATTTATTAACTTTTTTTTTCGTCATATAAATTTAACAATGCTATTGTTAAATCTGGTTGGTTTACAACGGAATAATAATGAAAATTGTTAACTTATTTTTATGGCTGCAGCCTTGATTTATTTCTTAATCAATGTTTTTGTTTTGATTCACTCATAGAAATAATTGTATGGTTTTACAAATATTGCAAATATTTGATTTTTCCGATTTGTATGAAATTTCAAATATTTGATATTTGATTTTCCTCAAAACCATACAAATTCTAATATTTTCTCGCAGAGTGTTCCAAACAAGACTTATAGATCATACTGGATGCTTGTTTTTGATACCAGACATGATTTAAACTTTACTGGATCTTGGTTTAAGTTGTAGACATGATTAAAACCTTACTGTCATTTACATACAGTTAATCGAAACGAAGTGGAGTCCAACACTCGAAAATGATTCAGATTTGAAAAAAGTGTTTAAAAAAATATCTTGTGCACAATATTTTTCTGACACATTAGAAAATTGAAGTTTTTGTTAATTATTATTATTATTTGATGCTTCTAGCATCTTCTACATAATGTTTTCATTAATTTATCCAAAACTCAGCCCGTAATATAAAGGATAAACATGATTTTTTAGCTAAAGTTTGTAACAGTTTATCAAAAAATATTGTGCATTCCCAAATTAAATGTGAAAATTTATGTAAACTTTGAACGCAAATATCTCGAACGGCATGCCCATATTAATATAGGAGATAGATTAAGCTTGTTCAATTGATTTATAAAGGTTTCAGAGAGGTTTTTGGAAGACTTTTTAACTTATGAATACTTTAAGTTTTGTAAAAATACTCACATTTTAATTGGAGTTTTAAAAATTCAAAACCTCATTATAAATTTAGGTCCAATTCATTTATGACCTATCCGATTCCAAAAAATTTTACGGGACAAAATTGGACGTAATTAGGAGATCAGTTTTGATATATATTATGTATAATTAAAGTTAATCTCGTAATTGGTTCACTCTGAAAAAGTGAAGTTTGCGGGAAAGATACCCAAATATTGAAAGTGGTACATCCAGTCGTAGGAAGTAGGACGAAAATATTTAATTACGGGACGTAAATGAACGTAATATGAAACAAATTCTGACAAAGTTTCAACTCGATCTGAGAACCCGTTCCCGCTGACTTCACACACACCTTTTTGATGCATAATTTTTCGAATTTTTTCTATGCATAATTTTCAAATTGTGAAGTCGTGTGAAGCTGGGGATTGTTGACAAGGTGGGGGGTGGGTGCTAGTTTGAGGGGGTTTGTGAAGCCATTTAAAAAGTCTTTGTGGGAATAAGGGGGGTCCGAGTTTGAGGGGGGTTGTGAAGTCATGTGAAGTTTTTTGGTAGGATTGACCTTAAAAACTTTATAGTTATTTGCGGCTTACAGTTATTTACAAAATATAAATAGGGTGACCATCTGCGTGGTTTTACAACGGACAGTCCTGTATTTCAAAACCCTGTCCTGTATAAATTTGAAAATTTTGTTCCAAGCCCTGTATTTTTTTCACGAAAATTTCCCTTAATTTTCAAATTTTCCTTTGTAACTTGTATTTTTTTGGAAATTTATCAAATGTCCTTCCTTTTTTTAAAAATTAGATGGTCACCCTAAATATAAATCAAATTTAAACCGTGTTAAAAAAGAATAATAAAATAGAGAGTTCTATACTAGAATGGTGTGATATTCCCATGAAGCGTGATCGTCTTCATTACTAGTTATTTCATGCAATTTTTACCTGATCCCCAGGAAGACCACTATTTTTTAAAAAAAAAAATAATATGACTCGTTATATTAAGATGATCCATCTATTTTTGCAAAAAAAAAAAATCATTACCGTCTACCCATGTCACCAGGAATTCCTAATAGAAATAATATTTAAAAATGAATAAAAGAAAAAAAAAACTAAGCGTTTTAATAAATACCTGATATTCCCATCGGGCCCGTTTCTCCAATTTCACCTATAAATTGTGTAATTAAAAGAATAAAAAAAATTATCATAGTTATCATAAAAAAATAAATACCTTGAGATCCAATGGGTCCGATACTAATCTCATCAAGAGTAGGATCATAACGTCCAGGAGGTCCAGATGAACCTTGTTTTCCTATTATTTTAAAAAAATGTATGTTTTTTTAAAAATGAATTAAGTAATAAAATGTATTGTTAATTACCTGGCATCCCTTCATAACCATCATCACCTTTAAACCATTAGTTCAATATTTAAAAAAATTATTGAATAAATTATTCATTTGAATAAATAAATTATTCATACCTTTGTCTCCTTTTACACCAGTCGCTCCATCTCTTCCTGCATATCTGTAATTTTATTAAATCATGAGCAGTTGTATTTTTCTATCATACATTGCATTACCCTGGCGCTCCTTTGGCTCCTTTTTCACCTGAAGCACCTTGTGGACCCACTTTTCCAGGTTTTCCACGGTCACCTTAATATTTGATCCAATTTTACTTCATATACATAGTTCTTAAAATAAAGTGAATTCGAAACAGGGTTGCGACCTGTCTCACAACTCTGATTTGACAATTTTACCTTCATTTCCTTCTGCACCTTTGTAGCCTTTTTGACCTCGAAAACCTTGATTAATTTATTTGATGATAATAATTTGATAAAAATATTAAAACAAAGTAAATTAATTTTTTTACCTGCTGGTCCTGTGATTCCTGGTTGACCAGTTGGCCCATCCTTTTACAATAATAAATAAAAATTATTTTTTTGGGTGAAATTGGAATAGTTCTTGTTTCTATATAAAAAAATATGTAACTCACATCTCCCATTTCTCCTCTTAATCCCTTAGGACCAGATTCACCTTTTTTAATATTTGTAATATTTGGACTAATGAATTCCACTGATCCTGGTGCTCCTTTTTCTCTAAAAAAATAAATAATCAGAATGAATAGAATTTCATTTCAATGCAGATCCTGATTTTAGTCAAACATTAAACTTTGGCTAGGCACACCTTGAGTATTATTGAGTGAAACTTTCTAGCAATTTTTAAAGTCGAGACTTCCCGAGAATTCCCCGGAAGTCTCGGTCTCGAGAATATTTCGAGACTGAGAAATCAAGAAATCAATTTGATAGATACACAATCAAGATCCTCGTGAATATATCGAATAATCAACAATCTACTCAATTTGTGGAAAAATCAAATCTGAAGATAGCAAAAAGATTTTTAAGAAATTAATTTTGATGTTTTGATTGTGTTAGTAAGATAGTAATAATGAAAAGTTTAAAAATTTTTTTTTTGTTGAGGAAAAATCCTACGAAAATCATGATATTTAATATATGAAGCAGTTAAGTGCCTTGCTGGTCGAATAGGTAAGGCACTTGGCTCAAATTTGCGGTGGTAACTCGGAGGTCGTCGGTTCGAATCCAGCCATTTCCAAATTTGTTCTTTTTCAGAAGTTTAGATGCTTCAACTGCTTAATGTACGAGATCAAGCTATAATTGGGCATTTTAGGCAACGTTGGATTAAGGAACGGATCAGGAACTTGAAGTGTAGCGGAAGAAATAGGAACGAGAGCTACAAGATTACCTTATAATGGAATATTGTCAGAACGGACCTGAAATGTATCACGTCACGCCCACAGACGATTGAAACGAGAGCCTGAATATAATTGAAACCTAGATTTGAAGATTATAAGCTTGATTCTACGTCACCCATAGTGAAATTAAATGTATCACTAATCAATGTAAAAAGTAAAACATGAATAAATAGTAATTCTTCCGGACGGTAACGTCGACAAATAAATAATAATAATATATGTATAAATAAAGTATATTTATGGGTGTTTCTTGAAATACAAGTAGTTTAAAAAGATATTTACCCCTTGCAGTAGAGATGATATTCACCAGTTGGGCCTTTGAATCCTTTAAATCCTTTTTCACCAGCATTAGCTTTACGACCGTCTCTACCAGGATAGCCCTTTTCACCCTTTAATCCATCATAGCCTATTTAGTTTTCAATTATTGAAAATCATTTAAATTATTATTAAAAATTAAACAATTACTAACCAGGTGTCCCTTGTAAACCATCTCTTCCTGTAATTTAAATAAATATTATATATCTAATATTAAATAAAGTATTAAAAAATCATACCATCTGTACCACGTTCTCCTTTTGTACCTTTAGAATTGATTCCACCTTCACCTGGATCACCTCTTAAACCTTGAATTCCGATTTCGCCTATAAAAAATGTGTTTATATTTATTTTATATAATAAATTGACAAAATTAAACTTTTTTACCTTGCTGTCCGCGAAGACCATGATTACCTTAAAATATTAGTAATATCATGTTAAATAAAAAGATATTTTGAAGTAAGAAAAATATTTAAATAAATGTATGACATCCAAATGAGATTATATCTTAAAACGTAATTAGAAATAATATTACCAGGTGTTCCTGGGATCCCTTGTTGGCCATCTGTTCCGTTACATCCATCAAGACCATCGGGACCTTTGAATGATCAAAATTTAAATAATGAAAATTTAAACCAAAATTGACCAAAAAGGTTATTAACAATAAATCTTCACCTCTTGGTCCTTCATCACCGTGCAATCCAGGAAAACCTGTTTGTAGGAGGATTAGATATAATTTGTAAAGCCTTGAAATAAATGCTTACGTACCTCCTCTTCCTTTTAATCCAGAAAATCCTTGATCACCCTTTGTAATTATGATATGAATTTTAATCACAATATTTTATTTAAGTGTCTAATTTATAAATAGGAATTTATACTTACCCTGATTCCCTTTTCTCCAACATCACCCACTTCACCTTTAAAAATAAAAAAAAAATTTGAAAAGTTGTTTAGTTTTTTGATGACGTCTATCAAAAGTTTTACCTCGATCTCCATCTTCTCCGTGAACTCCAGAAATTCCATCAGGTCCTATTTCGCCCTATAAATTTTGTTCAAAATTTACCATTAATTACAATCTACTTCATTTATTTATATATTACATATGTATAATTTTCAGTTACAGTTAATATTTTTAACTGTTTAAGGAAAATATTAAAGCAAAAAAAAAAAGAAAAATATTTTACAGGAGGTCCTTCTACGCCAGGTAAACCAGGTATTCCAACACTTCCCGGCGCTCCTTTTAATCCTTCACAATCACATAATGTGGTATTACAAACCTGAAAAGATTTAAAACTTAATAAATTTTGAAATTAAGCATACACAATTCATTAAAAAAAGAAGAAGAGAACCAAGAATACTATCTTGGTTACAATATAAAAAAAAAGAATTTTTTTCAGAAAAGTTCACGAATAAAAAAAGAATACTATTTGAACTGTGGTCATTGAGATTCAATTATATTGAGTCTATTGTACCACGCCCTTGAGGTATACAGCTTATTTTGGAGTCTGAACCACTTGTAAGCTCTCCACATTGCAAATAAAATAGTATGTCTTTGATATGTTTTAAGAACTCAAATACCCTACGGAGAGTTTTATTTCACTTTTTACAAGTTCATAATAAATTCTACGTGGTAATCTACAATGGTGACATATTTAAAATATACTTTTCTTGGTAAAGAACGAAATTCACCATATTTAGATATGCACCTTACTCTCGAAAGTTAGGCAGTTGCTTCATAAAATCACTTTAGTTAAGCGTCACTCACGTAGAAATTTTAGGAATATTGCTATATCTTTGTCAAAGTTTATTGTTGTATCATGAATTATGTTTAAAAAAAATCAGAAATTTTATAATTTTATTCTGTTATGTTTGAGTTATGTGTTGGGCAATTGAATTGTTGAGATTGTTAAGAAATTAATTTTTGGTATTTTGATTGTTTTAGTAAAGAATATTAGTTTAAAAGTCAAAATATTTTTTTCCGTTGAGCAAAAATCCTAAAAGCATCGCTGATGCCTGTATATATAAACATATTCAATTTCAAACTGACATATTTTAAGATCAAGAAATATCTTTGAGGATTAACTAAGAAGTTGTTTGATAGTGTGTAAAGTTTAATTCTTAAAAGTGTATTGCTAGGAACATAGAAAACGAAAAATATTGGAATACAGAAAAAAGCAAAAAAAGTTGAAATTCAATAGTTTGCTGGTGAAAACAAAATCTACAACTGGAAAATCCTTAACGTGTTACCAGCATGTTAAAAATGTTTTGGAATTAATTTATAATGTGAGGAAAATTTCACATTCTTTTATTATTTTTAGAAAGAAACGAAAGAAACTGAAAAATTATTTCAGTTTGTGAGTAGCAGTTGCAGTGAAACATGAAACATAAACATTATACATATGATTGCATTGCTCATCTTCAAAAGATCGGCATCTTTTATTTTTTTTTCACTGTTCCTACATAGCACATTTCTTTGTATATGTAAAGATGCATATCGATCATTATTTTTGTTGAATTCGCAGAACACATATGTTCATTTTGCATCATATTACAATGGCTAACATTTAAAAATGCACAAAATTGAATCGTTTCTGTTTAATAAATTAAACGGAAAACAAATATACTTCATAAACTTATATCTACATTTTTGCACTTTAAATAGATTTATCTGCTATAGCGGAGATTTAAAGTTGTCCTATAAAAAATATTTATCATGATGATTTTACGACAAATGCATTCTAGAATTGCATCCGGAGATAATATTTAATGAGAAAATTCTAGTAAGTTTTTAAATGTGTAATTTGTCTTTACATAAAAATTATTTCTTTATCTAAAATTAAATGTTGCAATAGTATTAAGAAATATATTTAAAAAAAAATTTAGCATCAAGAAATAATAAACTAAATGACAAGTTTCACTTGAAAGGTCAATAAAAAAAAATTTATGTGACTATATATTTTTGATAAGAATTTTGTTTTACATAAGAAAATGAACAAATCTCAAATTCACATGGTCAGTAGGACAGTCGTTTGATTAGAATTAAGTACTTAAAGTTAACATACCACAGATTCTGATGAATGAATTAAGTATCCTAATAAAAAAACTATCCATAAGAACTTATTGATCATATTTGTTGATAAATTGTTATATTCTATCATTTTAAGGCACTTTTAAATCACTTTTCTTTTAATAATTCACTTTTCATTCATTTGTATTTCTTCTTAGAATTGCAAAAATATATTATTGTTATTTCACAAGCTTCGTCGGAAGTCCAGTTTACGATTATATATAGCCTAATTTATTAAAACTTATCATTATCATAACACTTTTATATAAAATAAACTGATAACGCTTAAAGGAAACGACTGTTCGGGATTTTTTGTCTCAAAATTTTCATCCGATCAAATAAGCGACTCCCGCGAGACTGAGCTAAAATTTCTTTTGAATTAAATTTGGTTTTATGCTGTCTCTTCATCATTATACTCCCTTTGTTTTTTTTTTTTCATTCTCAGAGCATTTTATTTTCTACAATTCTCTCAGAACTTAAAGAGGAAGAATAAAAATGCATTTGTTTAAAACATTTTAAAGTTTTTTCTTTTGCATCATTTTTCTCCATGCCACATAAATGGTTTAATTTTTGCTCGCAATTTAAATCGTAAGATTTTATGCAAACATTCTTTGAATACGAAAGAATTCGTAATTTTTCTATATTACTCATTGATTTCCTAAAGTGATCTTTTTGTCTGCATTTGTGATTAAAGTATTTACAGGGTCCTTATGTGTAAAACTCAAAATTCCTTCCGATTTTGAAACCTTTATCCAGAATTTCTTCATATTACGCTTTCCTTTAATATATTTAAATACTTTTTTCTCACAAATAAAAAGGTTTGTTTTTCTAAGCAGCTCAAACGTTGAGCAAGAAATTTGTATTTCAATATCATGAAGATAACTCATTTCTTTTAATATATCGAAAATAAGAGATGACATGAACATTTTATCTAATGTTATTTCAAGGCGTAAACACTCGGAATTTTTGGGAATATTCCCAAAAAATCCCAAAAATCCCACACTCACAAAAAAAGAAATTTAACAACGCATTGTAACTTTGTATGAAAATTTTAACAATGCACACTGGTCTAATTTTTAAAAAAGGGAAATGAGGTGTGTTTGGAAAAGTTTCACCGTAATTCTTCGGAGATGTCTCATTTTAAAGCTGACATTGTAAATGATGGTTTCCCAAGTTTAAAGTTTTTTCGTCCATTTGGTGCTGAGTAGCAGGTCCTCAAAGTTAGATATAGGTGATTTTTCTGTTTTTTGAGATTCTTTATTCAAACTTAATTTGCTCGACAACTACTAAACCAAATGAAAAATTGTTTTTGGTTCCTAAAAGCAGATAATAGGACCTATAGTTTTAAATATCACACTATTTGAAAAATTTCTATCAAATGGAGTAGTTGCAGATTTAGTATGAAAAAGTAGGGGAAAATCCCTCTACAAAAGTTCGTGACTGTCGCAAACTACCTGAATTAAGATCTAGCCTATTAAATTTACGTTTATTAAATAGTCCAAACCTCCATCTTTCTAAATTGGTATCTCATTATATCCAGAGATTGCAATTTTTGGAGTTATAGGAGTTATAATTTGGCCAAAAATGCCAAATTTTAAAAACTTTATTTCTCAAAAACCATTCAAAAATCAACTTTTGTTCTAAACAAGCTTAAACTTGAAGTTTTTGATTTAATGCTTGATTGTTGAGCTATTTATGATTGATTTTTAAAAAACTTTTTCGAAAAAATTGTATTTTGGGGACCTATCTTTAAGGGTTGGTCGCAATTTCTGCGAAAGCCGTGAAATAAAACAACTAAGAAATATATAGTATAATTCACTTTCTTTATTTCTGGTGTTTGCGTGAGTTCACACTAAATCAAAAAGAGGTATAATTAATTATCTAATTAATTCAATATACTTTGGACATTAGAAGATTAAAAGATCGTCAATTTTAGTGCAATTAGCAAACAATTACAATGAATGCTTATTTAGAAAGGCTTTTTTATTTAACGGTTAATAAATAATTTGAAATTTTTCCCGTTAAAAGTTGCACTACGAATACATTTGTTATAGTATAATTAAATAATTTGTTCCAATGAATTTCCCTATATAAAAAGTTTATCATGTAACGATTATTTGAGATTCAAATTTTCTAACGGTCAGTAAGTTTTTGAAAGCTTCCCGCCAAAATATATACAAAAAATCATTAATTATAGTATATTTATCAATTTAACATCTTTCATTCTCCTATATAAATTGTTTATCATTTAACGGTTTTCTGAAGTTCAAATTTTGTAACGGTCGTATGCATTTGAAAGTATTTTGCCAAAAATTACTTTAAAAGCATTAATTAAAGTATAAATAACAGTCTGTTGCAAAAAAAAATTTCATATAAAAAGGCTTGGTAATTTAACGGTTTTTTGAGATTCAGAATTTTTCAACGGTAGAAATAAATTCGAATCTCTAACGCTCTCATCACGTGTTTTTTCATATGAAATATAAAAATCATTAATTATAGTACAAAAACACTGTTTCAAGACTTTTAAATGCGTTTCCCGAAAATAAAACAATGGACCTGAGCTAATAAAACAAACTAGAACTCTCTACGATGTCTAGTTAAAAAGTTTTTCTCCGCCCGAACGAACAGACATAGTGAGATATTAAGCTACCTTTTAGAAACAAGTTTCAAAAATGCGCTAAAAAGGGTTAAGCAAATGTTAGGAGGGGTGTGAATGCTTCGGTAAATCCTCGTAGGGTTCAAACGTTTATTAGGGCATGCGAATAAATGGCTTAAAATATATAATACCAAGAAGTCTGTCATTTATAGCAAATGACATACTCGCCCGGGGAAGAAGTTCATAAACTTCTTATTTAATTCTTTTTATTGGGGTTATTCTGCTTTATCTGCTTCCAGATCGATGTGAAGTACGTTATCATCAGAATCAGTTTCAATTTCAGTTGTTGCTTTCGATGATTCACCCTGTTCAGCATTTGTCAAGTCGATTGATTTCTCATTCTCAATAGCAGGTGTCTCATTTACTTCAGTTCCATTAACATCTTCCCTCGGATTAACTAATATCTTGAGATTGTTGAGGAATGCCTTACTAGATTCAGCTGTATTCTTTCCAGGATAGACTTTGTGGTACTTTTCATATAGATTCTCAATCAATTTCTTATTGTCGACTCGCTTATCACTGTTCAAAAATCCAGGCCACTCATAAGTGGTTATCAATTGATTAAGTGCTTTAGCTTCTTGATTCCATTGAACTATTCCACTCTTTAGGAAATGAGCATCTTCCATAGCGACTTGCATTGGAATATTTTCGCTGAGTGTTGCACGAATTGGCTTCTGTTGAATTATGTGTTCAAAGAATCCACCTTCACCACCTACTTGACGTGCATCTGCTTGACGTAAGAATGTAATAAATCCTTGTGGCAATGTCCAATCTCTCTTTGCATCATAATTAAGTCTCATGCCTGTGATCACACCTTTTCTCTCAAAATATCTCACTAATTCAAGTAAGTAGTAGATTGGCGCTTCCTGTTTTCGTTCTAGACTTTTCAATATGACAGTGATTGGAACACCCTGAAATGAAGCGCTTAAGTCTTTGTCGATGAATGTTGCTCTGCCAACTTTCATTGGAACTTCAATAGGAGTGATGGTGTTGTTGTTGATATTCAGCTTAATACTTTCCAAATATAGAGCACTCTGTTTAAAAGGAAAATATATGAAAACTGTCTCGCCCAATCTCTTTGCTTTGTAGTCAGCTACTCTCATAATTCCAATAGCATCCTTAACGTATGGTGTAGTTTCCAATAACACTTGACTAATTGTGTATGTCTCAGGAACTGGTGCGATTTGAACGACGGTAAAAAAATTTCCTTGAGTTCTTTGCGATTGCTCAGCACGATCATTAAGTTCAGCCTTTTCAGCGTTTCGCTTGCCTAATTTAAAATTCATGATTGTTACTGGTCTATCTGAAATGATAAGAAAATAATAAACATTACGGGTATACCATGCGTATAATAAAAGAACTGATGCGTTCAGTGAAACAGAGAATTTTGTATTGATTCTAATAATTAGCATGTCTAGTAATGCGGAGAGTATTTGTAAATTAAGTTTGGCGAGTATGTTGACACTTCACCGTTGTCGTATTGTCCCATCAGGCATAAGTATATCCGCTACTCTCCCTCTCAAGTCTTTTGATTTATATATTTTGATGACCTAAGCTCTTTCCCATGCTTTTCGTGTTCTATTTGGATCCACAAGCAGAACCAAGTCATTGACTTTCATTGGTGGTTTATCTTTAAACCATCTGTCTCGTTTTGTTAAGACAGGCAAGTAATAAGCAACGAATCTGCGAGAAATGTCTTCAGCGAGAATTCGTCCCTTTCAATATTGATTACGATCATCCAAAGGATCATGTGGTAACTTCCTTTCGAATATTGAAGGTAATAGCGGCCAACCAGATCTGTTCTTAGCTAAATGATGGGGAGTCAGCACTTTTTCATCCTCACAGCTTAATGGATTATGTGTAAGTGGTCTACAATTGATCCTGTGAGCAGCTTCTTGCAATGCGATGTTTAATTCTGTCTTTGAAACTTTCCGTTTCTCAATTGATGAAGCGATTGCTCTTTTGACTTCTTTAATAAGTCTTTCGTAAAACCCTCCAAACCAAGGTGACTGTACAGGAATGAACTTCCAAGAGCAAAACTTATCAGCCTGATCCTTGACCCAGTTGTTTTTAGCTTTTTGTAGACATTTGGATATCTCTTCCTTATCGTGATTGATGACTCTAGCAGCTCCAGTGAAGTTTGTGCCATTGTCCGAGATGGATCTACTGACAGAACCGTGAGCTGACCATAATAGCATGATTGCTTCCAGTACACTTGATGTATCAAACTTATCCAATAAATGTAGATGAACGAATCTAGACATGGTGCAAGTAAAAATTAATATCCACACCTTCTTCTCTCTGCAGTAGTTTTACACTTTCAATGGACCAGCACAATCCAGTCCAGTAACTTCAAATGGCTTTAATGATGGATTTACTCTGCAATCAGGCAATGCTGCCATTTTTGGAGGTTCTGTATTTGCAGACTTGACACGACAGTAATTCTACATACTTTTTGTTTTCTGCAATGCAGCACGGAGTTGGGGCATCCACATAACTGATCGAAATTCTGCTACTTGACTCTCTATACAAACATGTTTGTATTTGTAGTGGTAATGACGAAGTAAAACCTCACTCAAAAGGTTTTTCCTGGGGACGACGGGTGCATATTTTTGAGCATAAACTTCCTTTGACAGGTCCACCCTTGAGCTGATTCTCATTACATCGTCTTTGTCTAGAAACACGTTTAATTTGAGAAGTTCAATATCTCTTACTTGCTTTCCTTCTTTAAGTCTTTTGTAATCCACTGAAAAAAACTCAT